GCCGTGAGCAGCGGTAGGGATGGTGACCCCAAAGCCCTTTCCTGTGGGCTGGGAGCAGCAGGAGGGATGGTGGCTGGGAAGCCCCTTCCTCTGGACCAGGAGCAGTGGGATGGTGGCTCAGGAGCCCCTTCCTCTGGGTCAGGAGCAGCAGGACAGAAGGTGGCCCAAAAGCCCTTTCCTTTGGGCTTGGAGCAGCGGGAGGGATGGTGACCAAGAAGCCCCTTCCTCTGGACCAGGAACAGTGGGACTCAGTACCTTGGTCTGGTGGTCTGGTGTCCTCTGCATCTTTGTATTGTGGAATCAGGTGGCTGCCTGTCTGCAATGGGGTGACTCAGTGTCTTCCGCGCAACTCAGGACCTCGGTAGGGTGTGCACAGACCTGCCTGTCTGCAGCGAGGTGATTTGGCGTCTTCTGCGGGACTCAGGACCTCGGTAGGGCCTGATTTTAATTCTTTTGGATATATTCCCCAAAATAGAATTACTGGATCATATAGTAATTCTATTTCTAACTTTTTAAAGGAGCCTCAATACTGGTTTCCATAGGGGTGGCACCATTTACATTCCCATCAAAAGTGCACAAGGATTGTGGTTTCTCCACATCTTTTCAAGACTTGCAACTCTTTGTTTTGTTTTGTCTTTTCAGTCTAATACTCTTCCAACTGGGCTGTTTTGGCTGCCCAGTTCTGTTTTGTGTTTTGACAGTGGCCATTCTAATGGGCAAGTGTGGTTTCGTATTGTGGCTGAGATTTGCATTTCCCTAATATCAGTTGAGCACCTTTCCTCTGCTTGCTGGCCATCTGTACATCTTCTTTGGAGAAGTGTCTGTTCAAGTTCTTCACCCATGTTTAAATAGAGGGTTTTCTTCTTGTTGTTGTTGAATTATAGGAATTTAAAAAAAATGTATCCTGGATTTTGACCTTTTACACACACATAATCCGCAAGTATTCTCTGCATTGCTTCTACTCTCTCAATTGTGTCCTGTGTTGCCCAAAGGTTTTCATTATTGATGTTATCCAATTTATCTATTTTTTCCTTTGTTTCTTATAGCTTTTGTTCCAAACAATTTATTTTGTTAAACATCTTATCTCTGTACTGTAAAGTGGGCTCTATTGTTGTGACTGTTTTATGGAAGACAAAATTGAGGCATCAAAGGCTAACTAGCTGGTCTGCATGCATACCACCAGTGGGAGAGCTGCGCCTTGGGCACAAATCTTGCAGTTCTTAGACTCACACTCTTAGCTACTGCTACAACATAACTAATGACCTGTAAGGCACAACACAGACAATGTGATGGCACTGTGATGGTCATGACATTGTGGATGATGACAGTGCCAGGGCAGCATTGCCAAGAAGGGCATGGCTTGCAGAGGCAAACTGTGACACAGCACATTGTGAGGAGGAGGCTGGGGCATTGAGAGGTGCCACTTTTGGAACTCCTTCATTGACAGACTTTGGAAATTATCTGGAAAATACCAGCACCATCAATGCCTAGTGTATCTGTCAGTTATGTGCAGTGTGGGGTGGAAGGAAAGAGCCCAGAACACATAGGCATGGCTGGTAGAGCACACAGAGCTTGATGGAGGATTTCCACTGTTATTTGAGAGGCTGGTTGATATTTTCTAGGTCTCCGAACAGCAACTCAAGGAAGCTGTGACTCAGGCTATGGAGAACATCAAGTTCGGAAAGGAGAGGCACCAGTGGAGTTTGGAAGGTAAAGTGTGCTGGTAATCTTAATTATCAGCTTGATTGGATAAGACTCCTGGAGAGGTGACTAGATCACAGGGAATGGATTAATCCCCTTATGTTCATAGTTGAACATGCTTTTCAGAAGTGGGGCCCTACTGGAGGAGGTGACCACTGGAGAGTATATCTCTTGCTCTCACTCTTCCTCTATGCTCTGCTTTCTGGATACCATAAAGTGAGCAGCTTTGCTCCACCACACCCTTCTGCCATGGTATTTCTGTTTTGAGCCAGCTGATCATGGACTGAAACCTCTGAAACCATGAGCCAAAAATAAGCCTTTCCTTTCGTAATTTGCAGATGTCAGATAGTTTGTCCCAGAGACAGGAAAGCTGACCTATACATAAAGGAAAAAGTGAAGTTTGACTTGAAATGTCTTTGCCTTCTTAGAAAGCTCAGAATTTAGCCATTAAGTCCTTCTCTACCATAAGAATATGTGAAAGCAGTCATCACAGACAGGCAAGATACATAGACAGGAGTTGAAAGGTAGGAGCCCACCAGCTGAATTTGGTTCACATTTTTTCTTTGGTTGGAAAGTACAAGATTAAAGCACTTATATATGAATTGTTTTAAATCTGGTTCCCAATGGTCCCCACCACTCCCCTTATCTTCTACCAGTTTTCTTTCACACACGTTGCTCCTGTACACATTTGAGGCTGTGAACCAGCTATAAAAATAAAAGCTTGAGAAATGATAATATGTAACATATATTGAGTTTTTATAATGCCAGACTGCTAATTCATGCATAATTTTACCAAATGTCCACATCTAATTTTAAAATCCATTTTATAGGGAAAAGTAAGACCCTGAGAGGCTCCTTTACCCAAAGTCACACCAATAGTGTACAGAGGACCTAGGACAGGGATCTGACCAGCATAAGCCAAGTAATCATGAGACAGCCGTACAACAGAACAATGAGCAGCCATTTGTGCTCACATTTACAAGAACGTTCAATGAGATGGGAAAAAAAAGCAGAGAAAAAAGAGGACCTCTGATTTTATTTAACTGTGTCCTACTGTTTTACCCCATCTAAGGTGTGTGTATATATACATATATATATATATATATATATATATATATATATACACATATATATATGCTCAGGAAAGTTGACAGAGAAAAATCACCAAAATGTTAACAGTGACTATAGCTGGATAATCAGACCCAGGAGGATGTATACTTTCATGCCTTCCTTGCTGTGGTTGTGTTTTCTCAATTAAGGATATATTATTTTATGAGCAGGAAAAGGCAAATGAAAACTTTTTTTTCAAAGTGAATTTGAATTAAGAAAGAGCTAGGCGGACCTTTGTCCTCTCCTGTGGCTCAGATGCTCCCTGTAGGGAGCAGGGATTTGGGCAAGAGTCCAGGCCTTAGTAGGTCTCACTCTCTTGAGCTGTGACTCCAAGAAAGGGCACTTGGGAAGGTACCTTGGATAGAAGGCTCTCAGGGATGTGTAGATGCCTTCAGGATGCCAATCATGGGGCTGGAAACCAGGAAGAAGAGCTGGAGTGGGGAGGGGAGGGAGAGAGGGACTGGGGCCTTGCTTCATCTTCAGCTGGAAAGAAATGGCGACCTCTGGGGACAAGGTTCCGAGTGGCTTCCCACTTGTCCTCTTCCCACCTGTCCTCTGCTCACCTGTTCAGTTTGTGTGACACTGAACCTTGAGCAAGCCCACCAAACCTGGAGTTATGATTCTCTCTTTACTGGGGCAGACCTGGTGTTATGGGCTGTTCCCCACTCAGGAAGCTGACTGTGCTGGAGTTTAGCATCAGCGTCTTTTAGGAGGTTTCCTAAAGCACTGTGGGAAGGAGGGGAGGAAGAAATGCTGGGCAGATGGAGGGTGAAGCTGAGCTCAGCCAGCTCTTGAGCTCTGCAGCTAATGTGGCCTGTTGAAATTGGCCTGTGTTGGCAGAAATGGGTGGATCTTTACAGCCCACCCCATCAGTCACCAGGACGAGGCCACCCTCTGGCAGGTAGTGCTTTGCAGCTGAGGCATCCCTGGAGGCAGCAACCACTGGAAGCCATCTGCCATCAGTCTCCCAACCGTTGGGGCACCAAGCCCTTCCTTACTGGTGGATCTGAATAGCACATCTGTGTATCCATCACTTGTGGGCTTTGGGTTGGGATGATTTGCCCAAACCTGGGCTGAGCACAGCAGGCCGAGTCTGCCAAGCACTGCCCCATAGCTCAGCAGTCAAGGTCCCTTGTTTCATTGCAGGTATCAAGAGGCTGGAAAGCAGCTGGCATGGGCGGCCCACCATGGAGAAGGAGCGGGAGAAGACCTCAGCCCCCACATTCCACAGGGCTCAGAGGGCCATGGTCCGATCCAGTAGCGACAGCAGCTACATGTCAGGGTCACCGGGGGGCAGCCCCTGCAGTGGCAGCACTGAGCAGCAGCCCTCCTGCTCTGAAGGCAGCACACACAGCCCAGGCCCAGCCTCAGGGCTGCCCCAGGAAAACCCAGCCCTGCCCAGTGGCCTGGATGGCCACTCGCCTCTGAGGCTGAAGAAGTCCTTTGAGATACTGGTGAGAAAGCCCACATCCTCCAAGCCCAAGCCTCCACCCAGAAAATACTTCAAAAGTGACAGTGAGCCCCAGAAGAATCTGGAAGACAAGGACAACTCTTCAGGTCCTTCTGGGCAGGGCCCACCCACCTGTGGCCAGGTAAGAGGGCCTTGTCCTCCTGCACAGCACGCAGTTGTTCCTGAGCATTAGTGGTGGTGGGGCAGGGCCAAGGCCAAGTTTTCTCCTTCACGGCAGAGAGGCTGATGCTCAGGGCTGGAGGGATGATTCGCTGGGCATATAGGGTTGCAGTTGGGCAGAGTCAGAATGGAAGCCCTGGTCTTTCACACTGGCTTCTGGCTTCCTGTCTTCTTGGGTGGGAATCTGAGGTACCCTTTGCCAGGTCACTGTCACACTCAGGGAAATGGGAAAGGAGCAGAGGTCTTGAAGGGCCCCTTGTGATGGCAATAGGCAGTCTCTGCACGCCATTGTCAGGAACAGGAGAATAGTTACCTAAATAGTCACCCAAAGGAGCAGGATCTAGGTACCCTCTTTCTTAAGGAGAACCAGGTGATTGTGAGGAACTGGCCCCTGCTTCTCCCTGGTTACCTCTGCTTCCCCAGGTAGAGGTTTGGGGGAACTAGGGTCCCTAACTCAGGTCTCCTTCCAACCACTATGTGAGGTGTCTAATGGTTTGGGGCACAGTGTGCACCACTGTGCCAATCCCTCTGTCAGGCCCCCTCAGCTGCTCACAGGGAGGCAGACAGACTGGCGAGAAGCTGCTGTTATGTAAGGGTCTCATGTGCAGGCTCCATTCAGAGTCCTGCTGGGTATCCTGCCTCAGGGCTGCCTAGCAGAAGTCCGAGGGTGTGGGGCCCAGTCACACAGAGAGCTGAGGAGCTGCTCACATTCTTGCTCAGCAGCTGCTCCATGAGGTAGGTGGACGGAGGCCTCTGGAGATCACCTAGGGTAGGGTGCACTGAAGGCTGATGGGTGTCGAGAGGTACAGAACCCCAGGTAGTGGGAACAGAGCAGCTTGGGGGGAGGGCAAAGTCCATGGAGGGCAACAGGGCACAGGGGGAAGGGAGCCAGGGAACAGGCAGAATGCAGCTGGAGAGTCCTGGGCAGGTGTTCCAGTGGATTTGTCCTTCTTCCCCCTGTCCTCAGGCTCCTCATTTCCCTTTAGGCCCAAGACCTCAATCAAAGGGCAAATCTGAAATGAGCAGGCTGGGAAACCAGGATTTTTCCTTCCCCTTGGAGTCTCTGAATGGAGGAGCTATTCCCGGATGTGGATGTGGGCCTCCTGGCCAGGTGGGGCCAGAACAGGAGAAGGACTGTTCCCAGATAAGCTGGTGGGAGGAGGAAGTGAATTCTTCAGTGAAGGCCAGGCAGAGCCACCATCCACTGGGAGCCCAGTCCCAGGCAGCCACCCTCACCTTCCCACCTGCCTCTCTTCCTTCCTGTCCTCCACCTGTGGCACTGTCCCAGGACCCTGGTAGCACAAAGGCCCTTCCCTTTCCCCTCTGTTTGTCCCATGTGCCCAGCAGACCCAACTCCTATAGTCTGTCCTGCAAAGCCCAACCAGCACAGCATACTTGTACAGGGCGCTGGGGACTTGAGGAAAGGGTTACAGCACCCAGGAAACAGGAAGTGATCTGCTGGATGTCATTCCTAAAATCTCCTTGGCTGCTCCTAGGCACTTCTTAGCGGATGCTGTTCTGTGTGACCCACTGTGCTGCCTCCCTTCCTCTCCTCTTCTGCTTCCTTCTGATTTCACCCTTTCCTCTCGCCCTTGGTCCTCTGACGTCTTCTCTCCAGCATCCTGAGATCCTTCCTGAGCGGCAATGGATGTCCCTTGAATTTTCCCATCCACTGTAACTCAAGGGGACCTCACCTCTGTTATTGGGTAGTTTCTTTAGAAATGGCTCCTCAGTCGAAAGTATTCCAGGTTCTTTCTGCCTCGAACAAAGAATTGAATGAGACAAGCCAGTAACAGTGCCAAAAGTTTCTTTGAAAAGTGTGGGGTAAATGGGTATGGGAGACTCCATCTCTGCAGAGTGAACTTGGACAGAACAAAGAGAAAAAGAGGGCAAAAGCCAAAATAAAATATAGGCTGGGCCTCAGAAACGCTGTGGCTCACTCAGGCCATCAGGGAAACTCATGCACGATGGCGGCTTTCTGTGATGGCCAGTCCTTTGGTCCTTTTTATGCCATCCACATCTCCTGGGAGCTCGAGAGAAGCTCTACATATGGGGTCCTTGTGTTGCCCTGCAATCTTGTGATTGACAGGTCCCGCTCATTTCCCCAGCCAGCTTTGCCATGCCTTGTCTCCTATAACACCTCCACAACCACAATGACTTTAGGGCTATTTTCCTCAAACAAATAATAATTTCTCCCTTTTAGAAAACCGGCACCAACTATCACTTGTATTTTTTTTGTTTTTTGGTACCGGGGATCGAACTCGGGTCCTTGCGCTTGCCACTGAGCTAAATCCCTGGCCCATATCACTTGTATTTTAAAAACAACTGTGACACAGCCCTTCTGTGCTAAACCCACGTCTCCAGCCCTTTTCCTTCTTTCCCCACTCCTTCCCTCATCTACCAAGCACTGTGCCAGGAAACACTTGCCAGAAAAAAATTTGTGTAAAATCAAACTTACATCATGGGCTATTTTTAAAAACCTCCCCTGAAGAGAATGCCACATCGGATGTGCCAATTAGAAGTCAAAGTGCACTTGTGTCTATTTTGAGACTTACAGCAGCTCTGAGGAGCGTGTTTGGCATCAGATGCACTTGTCTATCAAAGTGCCAACAATCTGTGGATACGGACAGATGCCACCTTACAGTTTCCTGCTAGGTGAAAGTAAATTTCTGGTGTGATGAGAGTCTTGCAAACCATCAGGTTAAGTGTTTAAGCATCTAATGCCACAGCCAAGCCTTGGTTTTTCACAGGATGAGTTCAAGAAGCCCAGAGTCCTCCAGCTTGTTGAACCCCCAGCAATTCCCAAATGCAACCTTAAAGCTCAGTCCTATGGTAGGGAACTTGAGACACTGCAGTGACTTATGAATGGGTTTCTGACTTGTGTTGAACTTTCCTTCTCAAAGAACATTTGTTGTCATTATGGACATTACATTTCAGACCTTGGACATTTGCCATCTCTTTTTAGTCCCAAAGGATGCATGTGGTTCTCCTTCTTTCCCACCTGTTGGGAAGGAAGCATGCAGCCCAGCCATGTGCTTAGTACTGTGTCACTCTGGAGCCCTTGGAACATGGAGCTCCCAGCCCAGCCCAGCACAGTTCCCTCTTCGGACCACCAGACCTCCAGGCACCCATCTCATGATGTCTCCTTGTCACTTCTGGGATGGTGTTGTGCTTAGCTGGCCCGTTCCGAGGAACACTTTCACTCTGATTTTCTGTCCAGGAAATTCTCATTCTGTAGGAACGAGACAGAGGCCCTTCTCTGGTGAAGCTGGGTGAAGCTCCAGGACAGAGCTGGTGCTTTCAGCACCTCACTCATGCTGGGTGTCCAGTGAAAGTTCTGCTTGCTTACCTGGTGCCTGGTCCAGCTTCTCCTGGGCTGTTTAAGGAAGGACCCTGAGGCTGCATCCCACTCAGTGGGGAATACAGTTCTACAGTGAAGAGATGGCATCCCAGGTGCTACAGAGGGGAGACCACGCTAGGCTCCAGTGATGTCACGCTTTGCAGCCTGCTTACTAAGGGTCTAATCCTGAGAGACAATGGAGAAAGCAATCCGTAGGTGTGTTCCTACCTTAACTCAAGGACACTCAAGGACACTACCTCTGCCACGAGGACTCTATGAGGCTCCGTGCCCTCCTGGATGGGGGTCAGTGGCCATTATGTGCTTATAAATAAAGAAGCAACAGTGCCTCCACAGCCCAAGACTCTTGTCTTTCTCACAAAGACCTGGGGTGGACACCAGGCTGCTGGAAGTTGAGGGACGTGTTGGGTGCCTGGGAGGTGCCTTGACCACGCTGGGAAGGGAATGACCCTCTCCACCTGGCTGCTGATGACTTTTCCAAGGAAAGTGGCTTCATAGCTGCTCTCCAGCCCTCTTCAAAGTGCGCCTTGCCTTCTCACAGCTGGAGGCTACCGTTTTGACACAGTCTTGCTTCCTGTTTACACCACAGGAAGGCAGCGAGCTACTGCCACCGCCACTGCCACCGGAAGACACCACGGGGAGAGCCCCCCGCACTGTCGCTGGCTGCTCAGGACCTGGAGTCAGTCCACAGGCCCTGTCTTCCTCAGAGGGCCAGCCAGGGAGGAGAGTCAGCCCAGGTGAGTGTGCACGGAGGTCTTCCTGAAGGCAGGGCCTCATGGAGAGAGCTCTGCTGAGGCAGTGAGTTTGCCTTCTGCAGCCGGTGGGTTGGGTGGAGGAAGCCTCCTGGTTGGATTGTGAGGGCAGGGTTGAAATGCTGGCCAATCCAGTGGTCAGGAGGAGGCTAGGGCCTTGGGAAGAGGTCAAAGACACAGGGCCGGTGGGCAGCCCCTGGTGGGTGCCAGCTGCATGCAGTACTTCCAAGTCAGAACATAGAGTAGGGAAAGCATAAGTGCTGTTTTGTTGGTGGCCACCTCTCCCATGAGGTGGGCAGGAAGGTTGTGTCCACATGGTACTCCTGGCAGTGCTGAGATGTGACCTGAGTACTTTGAGCACAGGATTATAGGATTTTGAGGCAGGAAATCCTGGATCTATGCCTTATTCTCTATGATTCTGGGCAGCTTGCCTTTAAAGCGTTCCCTCACTTAGTGTCAAGATGTAGATCATATAGAATTCTAACATGTGATTTAATTCAGCTACATACATGAAATGCTTATTTGGTAGGCTCTGTGTATGGTGCTGTAAGGAGAATGAGACAGATTGGTTCCTGCAACGAGAAGCTCCCTGTATGGCAAAGAAATAAATATGTAGGCTACAAGCCATATGTCTGTTTGAGAAACACTACAGGAAATCACACAAGAGCTCCTGGAGAGCTAAGGGACATCGGAAATGGGCAGATTCAACACATCTCACCAAGCCAGTACCTGCCACTTGCTTCCCTTAGTCATCCCAGTCGAGGAACAGCCAGAGAACACCTTGGTCCCCACCTGGCTTGCAAAGAGCTTGTCTGTGGGATCTTTGACTTGGATTCTCAGCACCGTGACCCCTTGCAGCTGAGCAATTTATCAGTGCAGAAGCAGGCAGAGAGGGCTGGACTCACTGGCTGAAGTCCTAGAGTCTGCAGTGCCCACCCAGGGCTCCGGGGCATGCAGAGCTTCACCCTCTATCAGAAAGTTTCATCACGGTTTGCCTCCTTGGCACTGAGACAGGGCAGGAGTGACCAGTGCTTTTAATCTAGGTTGCATTCCAGCATCAAGCTCTCCCACTCCCCAACACACAGTCAAAATGCAAAGCTCTTACCAGACAAAGGCGAGTTCTTGGAATGTGGCAGGGCCACACATCCACTTGGTTTCTTGGCTTCCAGGGCTCTGAGGTAGACCTCAGCCAACTCTAGAAATGAATCAAGGGGAAAGACTTCTCTATCTGGCAGACTGGATGCCAGGTCAATGCTGGCTTCTGAAAAAGACAATGCTGCACTATCCCTAGGGTGAAGGGCAAGCCTGAGGTCCTGTCCCATGGGGACTCATGGCATCCCCAAAGCTCAGGATGCATCCCGAATTTCAGTCTTATCTCACCAGAACCTAGGGGTGGACCTTCAGATTCTAATGCATAGCCAAGGTTGAGAATCAGTGTCACCAAGCTTTCTCTACCTGGAAATTTTTAAGCTCTTTAGATGGGCAAAATCCTCTTTGTAGAGCAAGTTGATCCATGACCTGAATGTAGACAGACTAGTAAACTCATAGGACTGCAGAGACAGGCAGATGGGTCAATGTGGGAGCCACTGACTGGGTGGGAGAGAGCAGAGAGCTGGGTTGGCTGCAGCTCCCTCTACAGGCAGGTGCGGTCACCTTGCCTCACAAGGACATGGCAGTCCAAACCAAATATGGTGGCATCTGTGAGCTTTGGCTTAAAGATTTAAAAGGTAAGAGAATTGTTTGGCTTTTATATGTTATATGAGCTATGTGGGAGGCTACTTCAGGCATGAGTGGGCAGTCAGGGGACATGGGGTCTTCTCCTGCCTCTGCCATCAGAATGCCTACCCTTCTTGAATGCTGCAGTCCTCCAGTGTAAAATGCCTGAGGTTGGACCAGAAATTTCCTGGAAACACCTCCCATGCTGGAGCACCAGATGCTGGAATTTAGCATCCCCCTGGGTCTCTCATCCTATGAGGTGACCCTTCAGTCAGATGACACCACCAGACTGTACCCATCTCAGTGTCCCCGCTTCTGCTCATCTCCTCTTTCAGAGTTCTCCTTGCGGTTCAACTTTAAAACTAGAATTTAGGAAGAAAAATTGCCATGAGGTGGAATGCATAAGCCCAGGCTTTGTTTTCACTCCCCAGTGACACCAGGATCCCCCATAAAACCCCGGCTGCTGAAGAGGCAGGCTCGGATGAACTGTAGCTTTGACACCACTGCTGAAGACCCCTGGGTTAGAATTTCTGATTGCATCAAAAACTTATTCAGCCCCATCATGAGTGACAGCCAGGGCCACATGCCACTGCAGCCCAGCGTCAGCCTGGGTGAAGATGGCACACAGAGTCACCCGGATGGGAGTCCGCCCAGGCTGGATACTGCCAATGGTGCACCCAGAGTTTACAAGTCAGCCGACAACAGCTCTGTGAAAAAGGGGCCCCCTGTGGCCCCCAAGCCGGCTTGGTTTCGTCAGAGCTTGAAAGGTCTGAGGACTCGAGCTGCAGACCTGAGATGGCTTCCTGACTCAGGCTCATCCACCCAGCCAACCCCTGCTCCCAGAGAGTCCCCTGGGCCACTCCCCCGGGCCACCTCCTCCATCAAGCAGAGAATCAGCTCCTTTGAAACCTTTGGCTCCTCTCAGCTACCCAATAGAGGAGTCCAGAGACTGAGCCTCCAATCCTCCTCTGGGGAGGCCCCCAAGCCTCCCGGGAAGCAAGAGGGAGGCCGGGCTTCTGGCCTTTTGGTTCGAGGGGCTCAGATTTCTGCTGAGCACAGGCAGCCAGGGCAGGAGCTGGTGTCCCCAAGTTTCCCTGCGGCCTCAGAGGCCGATGCCATGGGTGTGGTTACATCCCCTCCCACAAGGCAGCAACCTGCTCTGAAAACTGTCTCCACTGCCCCTGACCCTCTCACGGGGGTGCTGGGCACACAGAGGGAGGACACTGCGGGCCGCATCCTCAAGATGCCCAGCCAGCGAGCACGGAGCTTCCCCCTGACCCGGACCCAGTCCTGCGAGGCGAGGCTGCTGGACGAGAAGACCAGCAAGCTCTACTCCATCAGCAGCCACGTGTCCTCAGCTGTCATGAAGTCCCTGCTGTGCCTCCCCTCTTGCATCTCCGGCAGCCAGCCAGCCTGCAACCCCAAGGAAGGGGCCACTCCAAAGCCACTGCCCAGTGAAGACTCTGCCGCAGGTAGCTCTGAGTCTATGCCCTTGGACACCGGGTTCTCGCTCAAGTGAGTTCCATCAGGGTTCTGCCATGCTCTCTTCTTGCTTTGGCTTTCATAGTCCTTTTCTAATCCTTTGTATCACTTTAAGAATTTCTTAGATGTACTCGCTAACAGATTGTTCCTCCTCTCCTTGTGTGTGTGTGTGTGTGTGTTTGTGTTTGTGCATGCATGTGAGCTACATCTCTGCCTGCCACATTAAGAAGTTTCCACCACACCTCTCATCAGGAGGGATGGGAGGTGGGGACACAGGACTGCACCCTGACAAGTTTTCCACAGAGATTTCCACAGGGGGTCAGGACATCTGGATCCTACTCCCACTCAGGTATTGACTTGCTGACCTCATGCACGTTCCTCCCATGCTCAGCCTCAGTTTCCCTTCTGGCTGAAAATAAAGTGTGGACGAGTTCTGCTTCACAGGGTTGGGGCTGGCAGAGGTGCTTTGTGGCTCCTGTGGCAGGGCTGGGCTTTGCTCTTAAATCAGTGTAGCTCTCCGTCTGGTAGTTTTTATGTATTGTTCTTATGATACTGCTGAGAAATAGATTTCGTGCATCAAATAATAGAATGGCCATGCCTGGAATTATGCAATAAGCTTTATGTAATAAAGAGTAGCTCTTATTAATACTATTATTCATGTTCCCTCTGGAAGTCTTTCAGAGCTGAGAGAATACACAGAAGGTCTTGCTGAGCCCAAGGAAGCCGAGGATGGGGACCACGGCTCTTCTCAGTCTGGCCAGTCAGTCATCTCCCTGCTGAGCTCAGAAGAGCTGGAAAAACTCATCGAGGAAGTGAGAGTTCTGGATGAAGCAACCTTGAAGGTAGATTCCTCTGTGAGCTCACAGAGCGGCAGGGCTACTGGGGGCTGGCTCTGTGGTCACCAGAGGTTTCAGAGGAGCTAGAGATAGGGAGCAACTCAAAAAGCCCCAAGCCTGGAGGCTCAAGAAGGCAGCTCCCAGGGCTGCCCACACACCTGGGCTCTTTGTGCTACAGTGACTTTTCATTTGAAGGGCGCTTTTCTGCATAGGGAATCCTTCCAATACACTGATTTCTTGCATCTTTTTGTCCATTTTTAAATGAGAAAGATGAGGCTGAAGTTCCTTTGAGCCTAGGTGTTCTGTATCCAAGTTCAAGCTCAAAATGCTGTGCCCATGTCCCAGGGGCTGCCTGGCAGCACAATGCCTATGGTCAACAGCGTGGCTGGCAAGAGCTCTCACCCCGAGCTTTTGTTATTTCCACCATGAACTTACGAGTGCCCCATGCTCCAGACACATCATCCTGAAGCCCCACTTCCCACATGCTTTCTGAGAACTGCCCAAGGCTGTGTAGGCAGAAGTGGCAGGGGGAGTTGGGGCTAGCAGTCAGATGTGGGTGGGCTGCCCAGGGTCCACACACAGCTCCTGTGGGCACAGGAATAATCCAGACTGGGATGAAAAGACAGGGAGAGCTTTCTTTTCTATATGATGAGGCATGATAGCTATACAGTGGTACCTTGGTTCACGAACCTAATTTGTTCCATGATTCTGGAAAAGATGGCCACGTTTGTGTTTGTGTGGGAAAGATGGCCACAGTGATATTTGTCACCTGATGAAGAGTTTTCAAACAAAAACAAAATTTTGCCAATTACCTTTGTTTATGAACCAAAAGCTTTTGTGAACCAAGGTACCACTGCAGTTCCAATGCCAAAGGTAGGTTACATCTGATGGACACGAGATGCCCCAAGCCATGGTTCCCCTGAGTCTCACTCATCACCTGTATGGGAAGCATTGTTCTTTGAAGCCCAATTCAGCACAAATGAAATAAGGGAAGGTAAAGCATACGGAACAGTAAGAGCTGTCCCTTCTTGGGCGTTACTGGACCAGGACTTCCCTTCCACTGTGCCAGAGCTCCAGCCAGATGACCTGGGACACATGGGCTAGAGCTAGGCCAGAAGGTACCTTCAACCCGAATCATTTCTGAGTCCTCAACTCGAAGGACCACAGAGCCAGTTGCAAGTGAATTCTGATAGAACTTTATTCCCTAGAGGCCAAGTGAAAAACTGGTGGCCCAGGGTCCAGGCAGCCCCACAAACATATCTATTTAGTCTCTCTTTTGTTGTAAATTACGAAGTTCTAGATTATAAAACCTAAACCCAAACCTGGACTTCTGACTCTTCTTTAGAGGGATGGTCTGGTAGCCTTGTTGTGCATTTCCCTGCAGCCGCTGACTTTCTGACAGGAGATGTGTTCTCTGACTCTACAGCTCCTGTCACTCACATCCACCATTTTTCTCACTAAGTGACTTGCTTGGAGGAGCTGGAGCTTGAGACCCAGCTACAGGCCTTGAACATGGAAGGAGTTGTCCTGAATGCATGTCCAGCCTGGGAAGTGCTGTGTGTGCCTGCATGTGTGTACATGTGTGCATACGTGTGTGTTCACATGCACACTGGAATGAGATGTGATCTGCACCCTCTCACTGCTGCCACTGTACCCACGGAAGAGAAGGGAGGAAGAGGGAGCAGTCAACTCCTGCAAAACAGCACTAACCCCTGGGCTTTGTGACCTAGCGTCCCATAGCAAGCTGGGTCCTGCAGTGACGTGGCCGAGCTGTGGTGTCCAGCACGCTGGGGTTCTACCTGATGTGGGCCCTTAGCCCAGCCTATGTGAATGTGGGTGTGCATGGGTGAGCAAGAAAGAAACAGTGCTACTTTAGGTACAGTTGCTTCCTTCTGAGCTTCCTGTCACCTCTGAAAGTACAGTTCTCCCTTCACAGATGATGAAACTGAAACTAGATCTGTGGAGGTGGCAGGACTTGGAGCCTGCCCTGGCTGGTATTTGATACAGCAGAGCAGCCTGATGCTGAAAGAGTCATTAAATTGCTCATGCTGGCAGCAATAAAGTGGTTCTTAATGTGTATGTTTCACCCACAGCAGCTGGACAGTATCCATGTCACCATCTTGCACAAGGAGGAAGGTGCAGGCCTTGGGTTCAGCTTGGCAGGAGGGGCGGACCTAGAAAACAAGCTGATTACGGTGAGTGACCCTGTGAGGCAGAGCCAGAGGAGATGGCTCTGGGGACAGACCTGCTGGAAAGGGCCTTGTATTGGGAAGCAGAGGGATGCACAATGCCACGCCAATGGGCAGGCGGTCAGGACAGGATCTTAAAGGAGAGCCACCAAGATCTATGTGACCTTTATTCAGCCCTCAGCTGAGTGATCCTCACTTAAACAAAGAAGGTCTCTGTGAGCCAGAACAGCCTCTGTACACCAGAAAAAGCTGAATCACCTGTACAGCTCCATGCATGCATGTGTGCGTGCATGTGTGTGTGTGTGTGTGTGTGTGTGACTCCATTTCCCACTAGAACATCTGAATCAGCATTTGTAAGGCTGAAGCCCCATGTCGGTGTTTTTGAAGGTGATGTTTTAGAAATTGAAAATGGTCACTAAGATTCAGATGGAATGATGTCTGACCACAGGGTCTTTTTGGAGGGCCGTATGACCTGGGCATAGTATGTGGCACACAGGCCTGGAGAGAAAGGAGCTCAGGGAGCCAGAGGCCTGTGATGCACGTGGCCTCCGAGGTTTGCCCACCTGGATAGTGAGCACTGATGTTCACTGGACAGCTGCGGGGCTGAGCATCCGGATGGTTGGCCAAGTGCAGTGAGACCCTGGCTGGAGGGAAGGGCAGCGATAGTACTTGTGCACAGACCCCACACCAGGTCTTGTGGCCCAGCCCTGTCCACACAGGACCTACAAGAGTCTGGGGCTGCACATCTTTTCCAGCGCAACCTGGTCAGTGCTGGCTGCCTTCCTCCCCCTGCCTCAGCCCACCTGGGCCTGGCCCACTTGGTCTCTGGCCCTGTGTCATCTGGGACCAGGCTGATCCCAGCTGCTCTTTCTCCCCACACTGAGTGCACTGCTGTCACCCCTCGGCTGTGTCTCAGGAAACCTTTCGTGTAGGCAATGCAGCCCCCTTTGGGTCTCCCAACCCAGCTGAAAACAATCCTCCAGCTCACAGCACCGCTCAGCATTAAGCAGACCACAACTCCTTGCAGCAGTGACTTGCCCTGTTCCTGCTGGTTCCCTCAGTTCTGTGTGAACAGCAACTCCCTTGATGTCTTTACAAGTTCTCTACCACTAAAGAGCACGTAAAGTATGTGTGATTCCTGCTACTCAGCACATAGCTATTACAAAAGATTCCTGAGGGTGTAGGTCACTTTCTGTTTGACAAGAAGAAAAGACAGCGTGCCTGTGGGAACAGCAGTGTGGGTGTTTCCCTCTGTGCTTGAATAGTGATTCCTGACCACCTCGCTTGGCTGGCCAACCCTGTGACACTGCAGCTACTCAAAAGCCAGGAGGAACTGGTGCACATTGGCTGAGCATATGTGCAAACACTTCCTCTTTCTCCTTCTGTGTTTGAGCTATTCTCATCCTTTTCAGACTCATTAAAAGGGAACCAACACACAGCACTGCCAACAACCAAGCACTGTGCTGGGCCTTCAGTGACCTATTGTCTAAATTAATCTTTCTCACATCTTGGGATAAGGAATTATAGCATTTATGATTCTTTTTGAGATTCCCTGGCATTTCTGCTTCATGCTTAGGTCATACAGCTGGGGATTCTAATGACGTCTGACCATACAATAGATTTTTTAAAAATTACCAAGACCATGTAGAGAAACACATCATAAATGTAAAACAATGATGGTTCATGAGTGGTCATTCACCCCTCTTAATCACAAAGGTACAGTCATATCATTTAAGAGGCCAAGCCAAGGATGTGAATTTTTAAATCTCCCAGATCTTGTAGAAAGGGACCAAGAGGGTGGCCGGAGCTAAAGAATCAGAATTTCCAGGAGAATACTTTAAAAATGTCTAGACTGTCTAGGATAGGCTACCTTAAATGCATCCTGGAGAAGATGGCACTGGAACATTTCTCTTTGGCAAACAGATCAGCTGTGGCCCACTGTCAGGAACACTGTATTCTATGCCTGGTGTTAGAGATCTGAGATGCACATTTGCATTGCAAAATTTCTAACGTCCTTAAAGAACAGACACTCTCAAGGCTTGTGTTTAACACAGTGTCCTCCAAGTTTTTTGATCTTAGAAACCTTTTCACACACACCATCAAAATCTGTGCTTCAGGGCTGTGGCTGAGGAAATGCTGACAGAAAGCAGGTCAGGCCAGAGCTCTCCCCTGAATGTTAGTAAGGACTGCAGGGACACAGCTGCTGGAAGGATGCTGAGGGTTTATCCTGCCATTACTCTTGGGGATCCCCATTCTGGGCAGAGAAGGAAGGAAAGCTGGTCCTGTTGCACCAGCCTTGATCTAGGACAGGACCAGTCTGTCTTCTTTAGCCTAAAAATCCTCCAGGGTTGGCTGACTAGCTGGTTCAGATCCTCCTTCCTCAGCAGTGTGGACCCTGGGTGGATGCTTCCCAGGGTTCTGACTTCCTGTGGCTCTCACAGGTTCACAGAGTGTTTCCAAATGGGCTGGCCTCTCAGGAAGGGACGATTCAGAGGGGCAATGAGGTCCTTTCCATCAACGGCAAGTCCCTCAAAGGGGCCACGCACAGTGATGCCCTGGCCATCCTCCGCCAAGCTCGGGACCCAAGACAAGCTGTGATTGTCACACGGCGGACGCTGGAGGCCACACCTGACCTGAACTTCTCCACCGACCCTGCAGCATCGGCTTCAGCAGCCAGTGACGTTTCTGTGGACTCGAGTAAGTTGTGCCAGCTCAGTGGAAGCCCGGAGGGCCACATGGTCTTGACAAATAGAGCCAGTGCTGGTGGGGCTATTCAGCAACATGTGGTCCCAATAGCACTTGGCCTGCTTCTGAGATGTATGTGGGTGGAGATGGAGTGTGCTGGGCTGGAGCACCAGCCATAGCCTCTGTGGCAGAAGTGAAGGGGTCTCTGATACCGCCCCTGTGTTTCCTTAGCTGCAGTGGCCACGGTCTGCCCAGTGACACTGGAGAAGACATCTGCAGGGCTGGGCTTCAGCCTGGAAGGAGGGAAGGGCTCCTTGCACGGAGACAAGCCTCTCACAGTCAACAGAATTTTCAAAGGTGTGGAGTGGTCTGCTGTTTGCGCTATTCCCGGTTGTAGGCATGGAGCCAGGCCTCAAAGGGTTCGAGCTCCTTTGGGGCCTCCTGGCTTTTCAGTGCCCCATGTCCTCTTGAGAGCCATGTCTTTGGGAGTCAGTTTTACTTTTTTAACCTGTTCTCTTTTGCTCAGACATTCCCTTAGCCCCTCTGTGATAGTGGGTCCTCCTAAGCTACCGAGGCTGGTTTGGTTCCACTGGGCAGGGCCAGGATCTGGTGTGGCAGGTGAGGTACCAGCCCAAGGTACCAGTCAAGGGAGCACCACATGCACAGTCATCAAGATCTATATAGTTCCCTTGCATTGATTTTTAAGAATCAAAATTAATTTTTAAAATCCACGATGAACAAAACATCAAAGTCTTAAAGAGAGTCAGAGTCTGGGGTTACACTTCTACAACTCAGCCTCCCCGGTCTGTCTCTATTGCTGAACTTTTCCAAAGTTTGATATTTTCTTCATCATGGATTGGGATGCAAGTCAGTCTGACACTGGGGTCACCTGGATTTGGATTTTCCTGTGGAAATCATGAGTGACCACCCCTGACTCCTTCCTGTCTCTCAAGCTGGAAGCCTATGGGTCGGAGAACTACAGAGCAATGGGCTGGGAGAGAGAGCCCTGGACAGGGGGTCCGGCAGCCTGGCTGTGTCCCAGTTCTGCCTCTAACTTGCTAGGGACCACTCCCTTCTGGGCCATTGGCTCCTTGACCATAAAAAGAAGTAGACAGGGTGGGTGGTTGTCTGAGGCTCCTAGGATGGGACCCTAAGGGCCTCTGCCTACACGGGTCCACCACCGGTTGGCTGTTAGGGTAAGCTGTGTGGCAGCTGTGGAAATCCAGAGGGCAGACCTAAGGGTATGTGGGGTTCCTTCAGAGTCCGTGTTAACCCTAATTCTTTTTTTTTTTTTCCTTTCTTAAATTCTTTTATTGGTACATTTTAGGTATACAATACATTTACGTTCATCATTGGGTGCCTGTACCTGTACATGATGTATCTTGGTTCTTACTTTTTTCCCCATTACCTGTGCGCCCTTCATCCCCTCCACCCCTCCCTACCTACATAGATTTTTGCCTCCATTTTTTTTTTCTCATAGTTTTTCCTTTCCCTTCTTCCCTTTCCCCTCCCCCTCCCACCACCTGTACACCTTTGGACCTTTTCTTATTTCAAATTATCAATTATTCATTTTAATCATTTTAACCCTTGTTTACACTATCAGTTTCTCACACTAGAGATACTGTTCGGTATTTACACGTGTGTGTCCTATTTATTTCACTTAAGAGTATGGCCTCAATATGCATCCATTTAGCTATACATGACTCTAGTTTCTCGTTCTTTATGGCTGAGTAGTACTCCATTTTATTAAAAAAACCACACCTTCTTTATCCAGTTTCCCGTTGATGGGCACTTGGGCTGTTTCCAAGCTTTAGCTATTACAAACTGTGCCACTATAAACATGGGTGCACATATATCACTGTGATATGATTCTTTTCATTCTTTGGGGAAGATACCCAGGAGGGGAATAGCTGGGTCAAAAGGGACCTCTAGCCCTAGTTCTTTGAGGTATATCCATACTGATTTCCACAGTGTTAACCCTAATTCTGAGGAAGATATTTTTAACCTCAAAGTTGAGCCTGGGGTCCAAGATCAGGGGACTTGGTTCTAATATTAGTTCTGCCACCATAGTGCATGGCCCTCGGCCAGTCTCTCTCCATCCTGGCCATTTGGTCACCCAGGGCTGAGTCGGAAAGTCCAGATTCAAACCCACACCTTCCCATCACGTAGCTCTGAAGCACTGAGGCAGTTACTAGTCTCTGGACTCTTCCCTGTGAGAATACAAACTGTACATACTTCATCGTACATTGCTGTCAAAAATACAGAACATGTGCACCACACCTGTTGTAGTAACTGCCAACAGACTTAGCTATGTTTTCATTAAAATCATTATTATGTTCTATTCATATTCATTCTTTGTAAGATCGTGGTGTCAAATGGATGGGAGGTTTCCTTTCAATATAAACAGTAAAAAATTAGGACTGTTTCCACATGCAACTTGGAAAGACTGTGTTCTTTCTACATAAATAGGTCTTCTTCAGGAGACCCATGAAGAATGCTTCTCCCCAGTGTCCTTCCCACCCCACCCAGTGCCAATGATCCCCAAAGAAGGGGAGGCCAAGGGAATAGGGCATGGGTACTGGCTCTGTATTCCCCACAGCTTAGAGGACAGTTTCCCAGTCTTTCAAGCTAGAACATGAAATCTCCTCTCTCTGGGGTAGCATAGACCACAGCGAGCAGAAGCCTGGTGTCCATGCAGTCCTGAGTATGAGGGGGCTCATTCTAGAACCACCAAGCTCCCATGGGATGGGGTGCTACCTTCTTCCCAGCTGTCCTGGCTCCTCAGAGACCAAAGGGAGAGGGTAACTTTTCTCATTCCTGAAAACTGCTGACCCACAGTCATCTTCTTCCTAATTTCAGGGGCAGCCTCAGAACAGAGCGAGACAGTCCAGCCTGGAGATGAAATCCTGCAACTGGCTGGCACTTCTGTGCAGGGCCTCACGAGATTTGAAGCTTGGAATGTCATCAAGGCTCTTCCCGATGGGCCTGTCACGATTGTCCTCAAAAGGAGGAGTCTTCAGGCCAAGGAGACCTCAGCTGCCGAGGCCTAGGTAGGGAGGGCGCCAACACAGAAGCCAAGCTAAGCCAAGGGCATGTAGCCTCTGTAACACTGGTCCTCAGGGTCTCTGCTGCCCACCCCACTTGGCCTGGGGGAAGCCCAGGGTGTGTCCTGCTGCTGCTGTTCTAGTCTAGACCTTCTGGGACACCACCCATAAGAAGGTTGTCCCAAAGTGAGGACAGGGTTACACTGGGGTGGCTGATATAAACTGTAGACTGTATATAGAGCTTAGTGATGATGTTATGGTGCCATAATAAAATGCAAATATTGCTATCTAACAAATCCATGTCCTTTTCTGCCATTTCCTACAAGTACTGTAATCACATCATAGCTCACCTGCAGCAGCAACTTCATTTTTCTCGTGAGTCTGCAGTGTGGCAAGGCTTGGTGGATGGCTCATCTCTGTGCCACTTGACCCCAGCTGGAACCATGCTAAGGCTGGGGGCAGGAGCCATGTGAAGGACCATTTCCTCTCAAGTGGGAGTGGTTGGGCTGGCGACTGGGAACTCAGCCTTCCATTGGAACCTGGGTTAGAGCCAGGCCAGACCTGCCAGGCTTGGGGGGGAGAGGAAATGTTGCCTGGGTTGTTTGTGAAAAACACAGTCTGTCACATAAAACACTGGCAAACCTATTTCTATTTGGGTTGGAGAAGTGATCATAGGCTGGTGCCAGGTGATGGAGTGAGCTGAGGTGGGCAAGGGAAACTCCAAGTGTGTACAGGTGTGTCAGGATGGACCAGCTTCATGAGTGTGAAGAATTGTCCCATGCAGCCACTGCATGCTGTGTACTGTGCAGTGTTAAATGGGTAACTTGGTGGTCACAGCAGCTCCGACAGCATGTGGCTCTGTGCCGGTGTACTGACTCCCACAGAAATGCAGGGATAATGCATGATTTGTGCAGCTGGGGAGTAATCAGGTAGAGACTGAGTCCTTCCTCCTGTCACTGGTAGAGACTAACAGGCAAAGGTGGTTTTAAGGCCAGAGTAGGGAAAATACCTCTGAATGCCTGGCCAAGGGGATATTTGCTTTGGTTACCTGAAAGACTTTACTGCCGGGCTTTGGAGAAGTGAGTGTGACTTAGCAACAGCCAGCAACCTATGACCAGGCCTGGGCAAGTCCCAGCCCCTCACCAGCCTCTGCTCCTATGAAGTAAGGACAAGGGCCAGAGACAAAACACCAGTAGTTCTTCCCAGGCCATTATCAATGGCACCATGCAATGTAGCCTGGTGGCTTGTCCAGCACCTGTAGGAAGACAAGCAGCAGGTTCCTGGCAGTGGACTGTCAGCCCAGCAGGCTTCTAGTCCTTGTCACTTTTTCAGGTGACATCAGCACAGCTGGCATCAGCTGTTTCTTTCAGAGAAACAACAATGTAGAGTACTTTGTTTTCTGCTTGCTGCCTCATTCATCCCATTCTGAGTCTTGCCAAGCAGTAGATGAGCAAGTAGATTAGAAATGTGAGACACCATTTCTATCAGCCTTCTTAATGGAACACTGAAGGTGAACTTGATCCAGCAGTGGAAGGTGTGATTCAATACAACACGTGTTTGGGGTTGGGCAGTGTGGCCACATAATGCATATGTCCCTCCCCCTTGGTCTCACCGTTCCTGCCAACAATGATTGTCCCTTCCAGCACTCCTCCTGTCTCTGACCTGCTTTAGAAGGCCCCTCCCCACCCCTCCCACACCCAGCTGCCTTAGGGCTTCTGACAACATGACACCAGGTCCCTGGTCTCTAGGCCAAGATGCTCAGGTCAGAAGCCACCCAGCACCTGCAATTAAAAGCTCATCTTCGGGAGCTCCGTGCTGCTGGACTGAGAGTGCTTTCCATGGCCAACTTCTTCAGGGCTGGCTCAGGCATGGAAAACGCTGTTTCCTATCACAACCTCTTCAGCTGGGGCGGTGTGGGCCCATCCCCATGGACGGAGAGTGCCCTCTACCCGAGGCCCTTGGTCTTGGATTCCCACACCGGCTCTGCTGTGCCGGAGCATAGGCAGCTACCTAGGGTTGGTATTCGTGGCTCTCCACTTTCTTGTAAGATAAGAAGTCAGTTTTCTAGCTCTTTCTATAGGGTTCAAAGCAGTTTAACCCTGATGCCAGGAAGTGTGGTGCTAGGCAGAGCAGGCAGTATGTCCTATGGGCCCAGTGATTCTCGTCCTCGGGTGGCTGACCGTCCAGCCTGCTAGACAGGCCTGCACAAGGCCCCATCTGGGCAAGACCACTGTCTTTGAGGTCTGGACTTCACAAGGTAGGCATGAACCAGTCTGTTCCTGGGACCTGACATAGGACAGGGGTGGCCACACAGTGAGGCTTCGTAGCCACTCACCAGGAATGAACGAGTTCTAATCAAATACAAGTGTCCCACAGAGACTTCTGGGTGAGATGTGGGAGCTGAACATTTCCGCATGGTGACTGGGATCCACAACTGACGGGAACAGAAAGGGAGCTCTTCTTTGCCTCGGCACTGAGTCACCAAGGAGCTTCAAGGTGGGGAAGGTCATAAAGGGCTCCCTGGCTACGTAGCCCTACTGGGAAAGGGGAAAGGCAGAGGTGTGCGAACTCCAGCCAGGCCTCTGCTAGGTGTGAAGCTGGGCTGCTGTGCTGGTCTGGCTGAGCCTGGCCCCTGCAGGTTCTGTGGCAGACTCCAGGGTTTCTGGCCAGGCTGCTTAGGTTGGCCTCTCTTCTGTCCCTCTGTCCCTCCTAGCAGGCAGGGCATCCTTGTCCCGGCCCTGGGACAAGGAGAGGAGAGGAAAGGCAGGTAGATGCCTGGACAGGGGACTCTTCTGCCCAGCGCTGGGATGCGGACAGAGCAGGGCTCAGTTTCCAGTCACCATGGTAGAGAACATACTCCAGGCTGCGGGCTGGGACACGGCGGAGGCAAACAGAGTTGCTGGGGCCATGAAAGTAAATTCAGAAGGGAAAGAAGACAGAAGGGGACCTGAAATCAATGGAAGACACATCCAAAGGCTCAGTGAAGTATTGTCCCTTGAGGCTTATTCCACTGTTTAAATCATTATTTCCCAGGATGACATTTAGTGGGGAATCTTGTGCAGTGTTAAACACATACACCAGAGTCAGAGTTGGCAGCACAGGGTGGGAAGCTACAGGTGCTGACATGGTGCCAGACACTGTGATCATTATCAGCTGAGGACAAACATGGCACGTGGCCTCTGGACCACAGGGCATCACCAAGTAACAAGCGGAGTCTCTGTCGGGTGGCCAGTAGCCAGGGTCCACCAGGCAGTGCGTTTGGACCCCAGGTAGAGCTGGAGCAGTGAACAGCTTCCCCACACCAGCCCTGAGAGGAAGGAGGGGCAGCTGCTGCCCTGGCTGGCACTCCTAGAGACTCGCTGCCCATCGTGGTGACCTGAAGAGCAGAAGCCAGCCTTCAGGCTCTCCCAGAAATTGGGGCTCCTCATGCATCACGGCTGATCTCCATCAGCTGTCACATGAGAGCTCAGTTGTGGAACTGCTTCACTGCTTTCTGAAGGTTGGCATAAAAGCCGGCCATGCTGCGCGGGAAGAAGGCATCCACCACACTCTTCGGCAGGTAGCCGCTAAGGTCCGTCTGGAAGAACGTGACCAGCCTGGTCTTGCCGGGCTCCCTGCAAAGGCAACAGCAGAGCTGTCAGGAGCCTGCACCTTGAGGCAGGCAAGCAGAGCCAGGCCCAGCAGAAACAAGTAATATGGTGGTCACACCCAACCCTGTCCTGTGTTCAGTACCCCTGCTCGATCAGGGTGCAACCTGTCCGTGTGTGGGCACATTCCACAGCTCCCCAGGCCCACAGGCAGGGAGAAGCCCCTTCTTCCAGCCCAAGGAGGCAGTTTCTAACTTCTGATATGTCCCACGAATGCTTCTGAAAAGCTCACCCCTCCAGGCCAAGCCCTAGAGGAAGGGACATGGATGTCACCTGTCCCTGTCCAACGAGGGCAGCACTTTTACTGGGGGACCCAGGCTCTTCCTGGGTCTCTGCAAGGTCAAGCCTGTTGGCACACGGTTCTCCTCTCCTTCTCTGAGGAGCCACAGGACGGACTGCAGAAGCAGGTATGAGCTTCTACCCAGCCTGACTGGAAAGGGCTAGCAAAGATGAAAAACTGTGCCACTCTTCTTAATGCTAATATTTGTTTTGAAAAATAGTTATTTTCCATAAAAATGTTATTTATGGTATGTATGCATGTATTACTATTTGAAAATAGGTATCTCTTAGCTCGTCCAGTTTACATTCAAACATGCTAAACAATGGACAGGTTCACCCCACCGGGACAAATGCCCTCGGGAATCCTCAATTATACTGAAGGGTGTAATGAAGCCTCAGGCCCGGAATCTGAGAATTGCTCATGAATGTCTTGAACATGTGTGGACTTGGGGCAGGGGTGGCAGGATCATCTGGGGGTAGGCAGCTCTGTGGCAGAGGACCCTGGGCTAGAAGCCGAAGGCTGGTGTCCTGCCCATGTGGGATATGACTGACAGAAATACAGATGGCTGTCTGGCTGCAAACAGGAAATGTGGGCACTTAGAGCAACAGAGGCGGTGAGGTGTCCCCAAAATCAGATTTGGTAAGGGACACAAAGAAAAGGCATACCCGATCGCAGAGGAAGCTGGAGGGTTTTCACTACCATGAGCCCCAGTGGCAGGGGTGGGCCATGGGGACTGCACAGCACCGTCCCAGCTGTCAGGCGCTCCCAACAACAAGAAGCCCATGGCTGTAAGTGAAGTCATCATGCAGCCTGGTCCAGACTCCTCTGACGCCCAGACTCCACATGGCCTCCCTGGGGCCCTCTTGCTCTGGCTCTTGCCTAGTCTGCTCCAGACAACTCACGGAAGCTAAAGTGGATCCGGAGCACAGCCAGTCATGCTCCCCAATGGCTCCCTTTTTACTCAGAGCTAAGTGCCCACCAGGGCGCGGCCTGTGCACCTACAGGAATCTCCTTCTGGAACATTTCCTAAATGCCTGTGCCTGCTCCACCCCTGGGACTTTGGCCCTGCCCCTGCCTCTGCAGAAACCCCAGTCCTCCAGGCCTGTGCTGAGGGCTGCTGAGAATCCCATCAGGGAGCCTCTGCTGACCTCCGGGCCACCCACTCCCAGCTGCCTGCCTCCATCTGGCTTTACTTTTCTCCAAAACACTAAACATCTGAGAACTACAAGGGTGGAAATCTAACTAAGGAAATTTGTGTTTTGTTTTTCCTCTCCTGTGCACAATGAAAGTAAGCCCTAAAGAGGGCAGATACTTTTTATCTGTTTTGATAAAAACAGACAAATAAACAGGTCAATATCTGAGTTAAGAGGACAGATTCTGAAGTCGGATGGCTGAATCATTTGCTGGCTTTGTCATCTTGGGTTAAGTTATTAATAATTTAAGATCTCTGTGCTTTAGCATATTCACCTAAAAATGAGGATAACAGTGCCTTACGTTGCTGTAAGAACAAAAATTACTAGGTTATTATAAAAGTGCCGACACACAGTAATGTCGCATATTTTTGCTGTTGCCCGCTGAATCCAAACATGCAGATTAGAGGGATAGTCATGGAAAGATAAGGGAATAAACTGCGTCCCAGGTTCAGGCCTACAGCCTTGGGAGAGTAACCACATGTGGGCAGACTGGCAGGAAGCTCTACTCTGCACAACATGCTTTTCTCTGAGTGGATGGGAGCTGGCTATCAATGCTTGAGTTAACACCTGTGTGCCTGCTGGGTGTTGGGGACCCTTCCAGCCCAGATGCCCCACCTGCAAATTCTGTGCTGTCACCTTTGCTACCTGGTAAGGGGCTAATCATACTGTGCTCACTCTGCTATGATTTAAATATGAAGGGTTCCCCAAAGTCTCATGTATCAAGGGCTTGATCCCCAAAGCAGCAAAGTTCAGAGACAGGATGCAGAGAGGTGACTGGATTGCGAGGGCGCTGGCCTCTGGTGGATTAATCCATTGGTGAGTTCTTGGCTGAATGGGCTGTTAGGAGGTGGGGATGGCTGGAGAAAGCAGCTGGTTGCCGAGTCCAGCCTTGGAAGGGAGTATGTGGTCCCTAGCCCTTTCTTCTCTAGTTCTTCCATTCTGTTTCCTCACCACCATGAGGTGAGCAGCCTCCCTTCTGCCATGGTATTTCTGCCTTGGAGCCAGCTTACCATGGACTAAAACCTCTGAAACTCCGAGCCAAAAGAAACCTTTCTTCCTATAAGTTGTATGTCAGATATTTGGTCCCAGCAACTGAAAGGTAACTAATACACCCCTCTAAGGAAGATAGCCCTGGAGTTCAGCCCCTAGGGAGCAAGGACTCTGCATTTTTTTTCTAAAGACCTCTCTTCAGCAGACCTGGCACCCAGGAAGGCAGCACAAAGCATCTGACTGCCAAGCAGGGAGGGCCGAAATGAGATAGAGGTTAGTATCGTCAGTCCAAGCCAGGGAACATGGGGCATCTCATTACTTCAGGGGAACTAAAACTGGTGTGTGTTCAAGCATGGCTCTGCTAGCTTCAAACTCAAAGTCTTTCACAGGATGTTTGCAAAGCCAACTTAGCAAACAGTGCTACACACAGGTGGGTGTAGATGCCAGGTCTGAATTTTGAATAAAATACTCCACACCCAAGCCACTGGCTGGTACTGTGGGAGAGCACAAGCCCTCACTCTCTGTGTCTGCAGGAAACCCTGGGACACACCTGCAGATGTACCAGCAGGTGCAGTATCCTTCACTGTCAACTTGGGTGGTTCCCAGATTAGTGACCTTTAGCATATTCATCACAGGGACAGCTCCTGGTAAAACCTGGCCATGCCCATGAGCACACAGGAAGGGAGGCTTCTGGGTTTGGCTCCAGGCTGACTCAGTGTGGGCTCCGATTCCTCTTTCAGCCCCTGAGCTGGGAACAGACAGTCACAGTGCAGAATGTGCAGTGGGGACAACTATCATCATCATAGCCCCTCAGGCTGTTAGGTGGTACCCAGATAGCACGGCAGAGACATGGAACTCAGACCTTGCACTGCCAGCCTTCCAGCCTCTGACCCTGGACCCAGCACTTAACAATCCCAAACCCGAGTTTCCTCATCTGCTAAATGAGACCGTGACATTTGACTAATCATCCCCACATCATAATTAGTTTGTGTAACACTTCCCCACAACTCTACCATGTGCCAGGCACTTTGGCGTATTATGTCACTGACATGTGCATGTATGGCATTTTTCTAGTAACAGTAAGGCCTAAGGCATTTTTATTCTTGGGAACTGTAGTCAAAGTACCTGTACTAGTCAGTTTTACCATGGCTGGACCCAATACCTAATACCTACCACTTAAAGGAGGAGATGTTTAATTTGGCTCACAGTTTCAGAGGATTCATTCCATGGTCAGCTGGCTTCAAGACAGAAACATCATGGTGGAAGGGTATGGTGGAGCAAACCTGCTTAGTTCATGGTGGCCAGGAAGCAGAGCATGGAACAGGCCCAGAGAGGAGGAGGCCCAGTACCAGATATAGATCCCAAGGCCACACCTCATGACCAACCCAATCAAATTGATACCCCACCCTAAAAAACCAGTTAGGTCTGAGACAGGTGCCTATACTCAAAGGTTATTCTTACCCTGGAAGAGGTTCACAGAAGCACCCGCATGGATGGTTAAATCCTCTCACGAATCCTGGCTTCGGGGGACAGAGTGCATGTTCCACATGGGTAGCTGGAGAGGAATTCCAACGGGCCGTGAGCAACAGCTTCAGTCAGTCCAACCTCCACAGTGAAGGACCTGTGCTCTCAGACCAGGTCGCCTGGAGCCCAGGGTAAGGGCACAGGACCCCTGCTACCTGCCACTGCCCCTTACACTCACAACAAACACATACACACACACGCATGTACCTACACACACATACTCCAGCATACAACTTCCGCAAGTTTATGAGAAATTAGAGAAAAGAATATTCTAGAGTAGAAGGTTTCGGGCTAAGAGGAAGAATGTGTCCCTCTCAAATCTCAGCTGTCAGAGACAAGGAGGTGTTCCCCATCTCCCCTGGCAGGCTCAGAGGAATGGCAGAGGCCACTGTACCAACTAGTTACCAGCATGCCAGAGGACAAAGTGTGAAGCATTCCTGGCCAAAGCCATGGCACAGAACGCCCTTAGCCCCTTAAGGCCAGGAGTGTGCCAAGGGAGAGACTTGGGGCTTGAGTGAGTTCTTGGCTGGTTTCTGGCCACTGGCTGCCCTTGAGGGTCTGAGGGGGTGTGGAGGAGAGCCCAGCACATCCCCATAAAGCCAGTGGCACCTGGGTACCACTCACCATTGGAGCTGATGGTGCCATCCTCGTATTTCTTGACCAGCACCAAGTCCACAAAGTCCCTGGGAGAAATGAGCTTCATGGCAGCTGAAGGGGTAGAGGTCCTGCTCACGCACAGTGTCTGCCAAAGCAAGGGGCCCAGTGCATCTGAGGGAGAGACATCTCTTCCCCACCTACCCCATGCCCCAGGTCCTGGAAAACAGGATAGCTTGGCAGGACGGTGGCCCTGTGACCACAGAGCACTGGACGTGGGGTACTTGAGAACTATTCAGCAGGTGTATTGGCGATCAGTTTCCCCAGAACTCCTTCCTAAAGTGGCCTGCCTGGGACAAGGCAGCACCTGTAGGCAGGCCTCCTTTCTTGCTTACAAAGAATCACAGGAACACCCACCCCTATACCCAGCAAGAATCACTCTACCAGGAGTGTCCCTGGGGTGCCAACAACAACCAGGGATGCTGACAGTGATATTTAACCCACGTACTACATACTGAGGTTAGATTTCATGTGGTCCCCTTTCTTACGTATGTTCCAAGGCGTGAGGTTTGGCCAATTTTGCTATTTTTGCATTCTGATATTCTGTAGTAAGAAAGGTGGAAGTGATTTTGTAATGGCCCTACAGGTTCCACCCTGAACTGTTGCCCTACACACATTATGCCCTAGGGACAGTGTCTGGAGCCCAAGGTGAAGAGGACACTGGTGAGAAATCATGTAGGTGGCAGCAACAAACTCACGGGAGAGTGCTGGGTCCTGTCTACCTATCCATTCATCTATCATTCATCTATTTTAGAATCAGATCATTTGAGGATTTTCCAAATTGTGTGGGGGACTGTCAATCTGCGAGGAAGAGCCTTTTCTCCACATTTCTGCTGTTTCACTAAATGATAAAAGAGCTACTGCCTGCTTCTCTGCTTTTTGGGAAAATCCAGCTCACCAATGGCCTGTGCTTTCCCTCCTTTCCACAGTTAAAATCCACTGAAGACTGTATCCTTCTGGTGAGAACTCTTACTTTTCCTTGGACACATGAATTAATTAGGACAAAGACTTCTTATTCATTTCTTCCAGAGATGTGAAAATTTTTTGTGTGCTTAATAATTCTTCATCAAAATATGTAATCGTGTCATTTAATTATACCTCACTCCCATTTTTAACCAAGTCTTACAGTCAAAGAAAATACATGATTTTCAAAAAATAATTTCAATCTGTAGGCATATCTATGATGCAAGATGAGGACCTCCAAGAATAAACATACATTATCTTAGGATAAAATCCAGTGGGCTACGTGGAATGAAGATTTGAGTTCAAGGAAAGTCATTATATACAACTGCTGAATAAGAAAAATTTACTCATGTATTTTTAAAACATAACATTAAACACAAGTTCACATGTTATTTAGATTTCACTAAAAATCACAGTATTGCTGTGTTCAAAACTGAGACTTACTACATGTCAAACTGCCTTGCTTTGCAACTCATGAAGGTGTAGTTCTCAACTCAATGTTAGATGCCATCTAGATGTGTGGGGATGATGAAAAATTTTTCAAAAATCTGCCAGAGGTATGTAATCAAAAATATGTGAAGATCCTTGCTCCAGGGGGCTCACTAGGGCGGGACACATGGGTGCTAGGGAAGAGAAGAGGGTCCTGTGTGGCAGCAGCCACATCCAGGGACAAACCAGGGTACCCAGAGCAGCAGGAAGACCCTGCCAGTGTCACCACACAGTCCCCTGGCAAGCTGGCCAAGACGGCAGGAGCAGCTCAGCCCAGATAAGAGTTCAGCACAAGGGAGTCCCCAGCTGTCCTGTGCCCTGACAGATTGGGAAAAGTAAGGTAGTTACAAGGTAGCAAGGAGGAAAACATCTTCCTGGGGGCCTCTGAGACATCAGATCGCCAGCATGAAGCACCAGAGGTGGGAGAAGGCTTAAAGAGAAGCGCTCACCTCCTTAGGGAAGTGGTACCCATGGCAGCTGGGTGCAGGGAGAGTGGGGGTCACCAGCCAGCTAACTCCTAGTCAGCCCCTTTACCTCCGTGAACTTGGGTCCCTCTCTACCTCTGTAAAATTGTTCCTGCCCCTAGGGTTCCAGTTAAAGAGCCCTGTGTTTGTAGCACACACAAATGGACCCAATAAATGCCATTGCTCATTACCGAATCACTGTGTCAGCTCAGATATCAACCTGTAATTTCCTAAGCCTTTCATTCTCATTCCACCAGTCATTGTATCAAGACAAAAAGTGCAAATGTGCTCAAAAGACACAATCACTTTTACCTCCAGTAAGAAAATTCTATACATGACCCTCCTGTTATTACAACTGTATTCAGTTCTAAAGCGTATTTACCTGTTTCCTCAACTTCAAAAATTTGTGTAGGACTATTTGCCTACTATCTTAAATTTCACCTATCCTATTATTCATTTAATATCATCTTCAAATTGTGTTCATTTTAAAACACCTACACCAGGTGGCTTTAAAGAGAAGCTATTTAACTACTGGAACTGCCTCAGAGAATCACTTGCTTATAAATTATATGCAACTGCAACAGGTATATACAAGGGATTATTAGATTCTAATTCTGAGGCTGAGGACAGCTATTCATTTTGTTATTAACGATAAGCAAATATTACACAGGAGAACCCGAGGGAGTTGAAGCAGGACGACCTCCTTACTATGACATCCAATTTCAGGTTTGAGTGTGAAGGACCTGAAATCACCTTTCCTACTGCAGGGATGTACGACCATGCTTCAGGAAACACTGACCTAAATGCCTGAGACAAGGAATGAAGTGTGGGTTCTGGCTCAGGGCTAAGAACACCTGGCACCCAGTCTCTCCAGCAGAAAGCTATTGAGCAAGATTTCACAACATCACCTATGTGAACACCTAGTGGTTGCCTCCAGATGTCAAAACCAGGACAGCACTCAAACTGCACAGGTCAGCAGTGCCTCCCCGGAGCACCTTGCTTATTAGTTTTGGCCATGACTTTTTTTTCCCCTGAGCTCTGAAATCAAAATGAGACCAGATCTTAAAAGTCACGGAGGATTCCAGGGCAGGCTTATTCACATCTAAGGTATCTACTATGGGAGCCAGGCACTCCATGTGGCTATTTAAATTAGTTAAAATTAAATAAAATTAATTCATTTCCTCAGTAGTCCTTCTAATGCCCCAGGCCACAAAGGACTCATGGCTACCATGTTGGACAAGGCAGTCATTGAACATTTCTGTCACTGGAGAAAGTTCTGTCGGACAGGGCTGGTCTAGATGGTGTCCATTCTACCAAAGGGGATGCTAATTCAGGTGTCACTTGCATAGCCCACAGAAGACAGAGGATGCTGACTCTTGGGCAAGGGTCTCCCTGTCCAGTGAGAGCTGAGGAGTCATACTCACGTCTTCCCCTAGTGTCCTAAACGTCCAGATTCCCTCTGTACCTTGTCACCAGCTATTGGTATCTACACTCTGTGTCACACTGTCTCCCATCTGCATAGAGGGTACCCCTCCTGTCAAAACGTGTCACAGACCCTTCCAGAGGGGCTGGGATCAGGTTCCCATGGCGGCACAGATGCTGTCTACGGGTAGCATGCTGGGGGAAACTTACGTTGGTGATGCTTTCGATAATTTCAAAACTGGTCACATTCTCATCCCATTTCTCTCGCAAGCCCCCGGCAGCTGGCTTTACACAGTCCCACACCTCCTCTGGGGTACCACACACAATTCCATCTCCTCGGTACCTGGAACACAGAGAGGTATTGGACTCCAGCATCAACCACACTTGTTACTTTGGGACCTACGTAAGGGCAACTGTGCCAAGTCCACCACAGCTCTTCGGCACTGGCGGGCAGAAGAGGGGCAGAAGCGCACCAGCCTACCTCCCTTCAAGCCCGCAGAAGTGGGCCTAAGCTTTCTCAAGGGCATGGTTGGCTGGAAATGATTCGGTTAAGAACAGAAGCTGGTGTTTTTGGAAGACACCTGGTGAGTGGTTCATGGTGCAGGGTGGATTGGAGCCTTTCAGGAAGCAAACCCAGAGACACCAGGAAGGGTGTGGCATCTGACAAGCTTGGAGAAGGGTGTACACTTACAGGCTCCCTGCAAACTCCACGGATGGCCTCCAGGAAACTGAAACTCCATGCTGTCAAAAGGCACAGAATTGCAGAATTTTAGAGCTCGCTGGGCTCTGGGGGAACTCTTGGTTCAGTCTCTAGTTCTGCAGAAAAGGAATCAAAAGCCTCTGGAGATGTGATCTCCAAGGTCGCAACCCACACCTGGCAGAGTGGGGACGAAACTGGACAAAGCTGCCAACCGCAGAGGGTGACGGAGAAAGTGCCCTTAATTAATTACTTGGCCAGCTCCAAGGGCCATGGGTGGTGTTCAAGTCACCTTCAAGGCCACCACATATTTTGTTTCCTCAAGCAATTTATTCGAAGTCGTGTCAAGTAAGGAAAACTGCTCCCTGCCACCCTCTGGGACGACAGGGGTGGGCGCCCAGGTGTAAGGAACCTAGCAAAGGCTTGGAGCCTGGGGCGGGTTCCAAATCTCGCCACCACCTACCCGCCAGGTAACGCTGGATAAGTAGAAGTGGATGCCACGGAAGGGACGGGTACCTACCTCCCGGAGTCACTGCGACCACAGACCGGCTGATGTCTATTACCCCTGCCCCCTATGGCATGGCATCCCTCTCCATTCGGCTCCAGGAACCGGAGGAAAAGAGCAGAGTCTTGGGGCCCCGGACCCTAGGGAGCAAAGTGTCGCCACCCCTTCCGCCCAGCTTCCCACTTACGCCTCCCCGGCAACTCTTCCAGCCGGACGCGTCTTGTCGGTACTGGAGCATCTTCGTCGCCACCGCCTCGCTCACCTGCGCTGCCGCCGCCGGGTCCATGGCACGTAGGTGCATGGGGCCCGGGAGGTCACACGGAGCCCAGGCCTGGTCCGAGGCTGAGGCCTGGACCAAGACCGGAAAGCTGGCTGCTGGGCGGAGTCTCGGAGCCCCGCCCCTCCCCGCCTCCCTCCCCGCCCCCGCTCCGCTCCGGAATTGGCTGGCGCTCGCCCGCCCCGAGATCGGCAGGGTGGAGTCGGGCCGCAATGGCGTCACCGCCTGGGTGGGTCCGGCATCCGGCGGACCGGCGCCACCGGCCCCCGCTCGGGTTGCGCGCGCGGGGTGCGGTTCAAAACCTCCACAGGAACCAGCCTCCTGTTACAGCCCTCGGAGCTCAGAGGAACACCAGTTAAAGACCTTGCTCTCAGGTAAGAGCAAAAACCTGATCTAAGGCCCATTCGTCCTCCAGAGGAGTCTTGACCTATCTTCTGTGAAAGATAAAAGACTTCTAGATCACCTCCTATCTAAAGCTAAAAGTCCGGGAGCGTCTTGTCTGAGTTGTAGCTGCAAACACGTTGTTTTTTAAAAAAGCAGGCGCTCCCTAGAAATCTGCAGAGTGCTGGATGATCCGGATTCTTTGGAGAATTTGCTGTGTAGACCCTTCTCCAACTCTTATAAAACCCCCCAAGGTCTTACTCTGTTGGCGTGGTTCCTCTCTTGGAAACTCACCCACTGTCCACCTTGGCAGTGGACGCTGATCTAAATAAACCCTGGTCTTTTCTACATTCCTTGTCTATTGGTGATATGCTTTTTTTCCGCCGTTGGCACTAGGTTCTGTGCCAGGTCTCTGGTGGCACATCCTTCGTTACAGGTGCCTGTGGGGCCTGCTGGAGTGGAGCTCTTATCGGGATTCTCTGGGCTGGGCGGCTCGCAGGGGGTGGGTGGCCGTTGCAGGTCCCAGCGTGAAGTGCTTGGGCAGCCTGGATTGCCACCTCTGCAGGGCTGCATCTAATCACATCTCTGAAAAGGTCGATGCTGAGGTCTATTTGTGCTTTCTTTCTCTGTGTGCGCGCGCATTGGCTTCCTCAAAAAGTTTCAAAGAAACGTGAGGAAGGGTGGGGAAGCAAAGCAACTACTTGAAAGCCCTTTTTTGGAAGATGAGAGGGGCTGCCAGGCTGTGGACTGAAGTGGGCAGGAATCCGGAAGTCTCAGGCTCTGGACCTGTTACTGGTTGTATGGTTTGGGGCAAGTCTTTTACCCTCTTTGGGACTCAGTTTGCTCCAGGGTGCAATGGGATGATAACAAATGTCTCCGCAGGGCATTGTGTAGAGCATATAAAGCAGCATTATTATAGGCAGCTAAGTTAGATAGAAATTAATAGGCAGTCAGAGAGGGATCTGGCTCTCAAAGTCAGCACAAAAAATAGACGTCAGAATTGTGACTGGAGGTGAATCTGAAGAGAGCCAGTACTGCAAGGCCCCTGAGCCTCCCTAGAGACAAATGGCAACTTGAGATTGTCTGTGATTAGCACCGCTTGGTCCAGTGGCCCTAATAGGCATTAGGCACACAGGCAGGTGCAGAACACCTGGAGCCATCTCCCCTCCTGTCCCCAAAATGCATTTGTTTTTCCCACATATCCTTGCTACCTGACTCTTTTCCCTATTGGATCCTCATAGTGGGCACAGGCTGAGTCTGGCTATAGGAGCCAAGGAGTAGGCCCTTCTCACCATGAGCCATTCATTCTCTCCAAGGAATTGAAGGGTATGTAAAGCTTAAGTGAATATTATTTAAGTTCTTACCCTCCCCCAATAAATTTTTTTGTGTGTATGAAACAGTAGGGAAATCTATTCGTATACTATATAGTAAGTCAAAAATACCAATCAAAGGGCTGTAGCATTGTGAGTGAAAGCCAGTGCTGGGGCTGGTGGGGTAGCTCAGTGGTGAATGCTAGTCTATTGTACTCAATAGACAGTCCCCAGCACTGAAAAAAAAAAGTTAATGTAAAGAAAACCAGTGCTTAAGTCAGATTGCCTGGACTCAAAGCCTAGCAGCATCACCTATTAGATTCAGTCTTGATAAGAAACTGATCATTCAGACTTCAGCATTCTCATTTAGAAAGTGAAATAAATGATAATAATAACAGAGTTGACATGATCAAATGATTTCGTAATGAATAGCAATTAGAGTGGTACTTCACCTATAACAGACATTTATATATGATGTATATGCGCCATTTGATATAAATATATACATATATGTCTTGTGTGAAAAAGAAATGACTAGAGACATGCTTGTATATGTTTATGTTTTCTTACAGTCATCTGCCACATAAAGATAATTTGGTCAATGGCAGGAAGTGTATACAGTGGTGGTCCCTTAAGATATCAGCTAGTGACATCATTTTGAATGAGTACACTCTGTGATGTTCACATAATAACTAGATCATCTAATTATACATCTCTCAAGATGTACTCCCATTGGTAGGCAATGTATGACTATCAGCATTCTGTATATGTTTATATATGTATATTTGTTTAGAATATTCACTTCTAGAAAGGTACAGAAAAAAAAACTTAACAGAGTAAGCCCAAAGACATTTCTTTTTCATTTTACATCATTCTATACTGTTTGATTATTTTATGTACTAACATGCAGGTCTTGTTAAAATTTTTTTTTTTTTTTTGGTACTGGGTATTGAACTTGGGTCCTTGCACTTGCGAAGCTGGTGGCCGAACCACTGAGCTAAATCCCCAGCACATCTTGTTAAATTTTTTGAAAGCTTCATTAAAAAATTCAGTGTAGAATATTTCTAGAAAGCTCCAGCTTGAGACTCAGGCTGGGGCCACACTAAACAAAGAAAGCTGAGGGCAAGTGAGAGTAAGTCTCTTTCATACCCTCCTCCTCCTGGGCTGGGAGGAGATCCAAAGTCCTAGTTGAATTTCAAATAAATGTTCAGGCAGATAGGGACTCCCGGCAGTGTGTCGATTAGGTTGTCTGAATCTATTAAGTAAATATGCAAATATATATATTTGGTGTTCACTTAGCATAGCTAATTGTTACTCAGTGCTTACCATGTGCCAGCCACTATCATATGCATGTGCCATTTAATCCTTGAAGCAATATGAAGTAAGAAACTACTCCCCCATTTTGCAATCTAAGAATTGCAGAGAACATCCAAGTTCGCATAGCTAGTAAGTGGCAGAATTTGTGGGCAAATACTCTTTCCAAAGGCTACATATTTACTCATATATTTTTATTATATCCCACTTCCTACAAACATATATAGTTTACCATGAAATGTACAAAAAACAAAATTTGCAAACTTGAAAAAAAAAAGAAAATCACACACTTAATTCAAACACATACATACACTCAGAGTGCCTGGAAAATACTGCTTTAGGCTAGGGAATTTGGTTTTACAGAGATGTGCAGAAAGCTTTCCTCTAAATTTCCTGGCTTTCGTGAAATCTGAAACAAAATGAGTGACCAAAAGATCATCCCTAGGTCACTCAGATATTTATCAGACTATTCTCATCAAGAGGTATTCACTATTTTTACAGTTGTTCTGATCTCTGAGACTTGAGAGGAGTTTGTTATGCAGGTTTTATTAGGAGAGATTTTTAGTGGTACTGTGAATCATATCCTCAATAGTAACTTAATTACAGGTCAGAAAAACACACAACCTCCCTGCCAGGGATCATTACTCAACCCAAAGGAATACTGTGAAACCATAGTTGTGCTGGGTTTCATTGGTAACGTAGGTTTGTGCCTTCTTGCAACTTAGGTGAGGGGTAGCATTCAGGGGATGGGGGTGACAACTGCCTAGCAAGCAGTTCTATCCCAAGAGCTTTGTGGGAACTGGCTTAGGGCGATGGTGATGGCTGATGCAGAGTAGGCACCAGTTCACAAAGAGAAAATGCAAACTAAGGAAAGGTGCCAGCAATTTTCAAAGGCAAACTAATTAAAATAACTAGTATTTTTTTTTCATCAAATAGGCAAAAATTATATAGTGTGACAAGATCAAGTTTTGGTGAAGCTGAGAAAAGGGGTTGAGGGTCTGGACCAAGAAGACAAATAGAAGAGCAGCCAGGAAACCCGAATGTGCTCATCTCCTATAGGTTACAGATTTCTCTCTTAGGAGGACTAACATCCATTCCAAGAAAACATATAAAGATGTCCAGTGCATGATTATTTTCAGTAACAAAGAGGTAGAAAAGATTTCGATGTCCACCATGAAGAAAATGGATGAATATTAGATGGTTTATTCACAGATGAGATACTATGCAGCAGTCATAATAAGTGAGTTTCATCTACAGGCATCAACAACATAAATACAATGATACATGCAGGATTACAGAATTGAGTAAAATATATTTAGATGTTGTTTACTGATGCTTATGCATATATATTCACAAACACATCTATAACTACAAATGATCTACTGGGTGGATTCACACCAACCTCTGGACAATGTGAGGGGAATGAGATTTAATGTGATAAATGTGGACTTCATTGTGTCTATGACGGTTTCTTTTTTATAATAGCAAAATGTCTAGATGAGAATAAAATAAAGTTTCCACGGTTGACCCTCCTAGTAGGAACACAGGTGCTTGTCACACCAATTTTGCACTAATTAGTGTCTTTTAGATTTTTCTAAATTGAAGACATAGCCCAATGCTAAGTGCCAGGATGTATAGTGCGTATGGCAACATCATGCCTACAGCCCTGGGTATGTCCTGGTCACTAGATTTTCTTAGGAGTGTCCCAAGGCTGGTTTATCTTCTAGCCTTCATGAGGTTCCTCACACCCCTACCCAGGCACGTACTCCTACAACACCTGAATGTGGGGCCAGCCTTTCCCAAATGTGTTGTAGTATCCCGGTGAGCTCTCGGCCACAACACAGACCAGCACTATGGTCACCAAAGCATATCCCATGGCCTCACAGAACATTTCGTGGCTAGACTTTGAAAATAGTGTGCTCTTTTTCATGAATCCAGGGAGGAGTGTTCATCTGTATTTTTAAAATGGCAATAATTAGATTAAATTTTTCTTTCTGGTTAGAAGTGGCCTCTAATCCGGTGAGTGTGCTATTTGTGATTCAGTCATTAGTACAGCTCATTCATCATTCACTCACCCATTCTGTATTTGTTAAATATCTTTGTCAGGCCCCCAGGATATTTGACCCCCATTTACATCTCTTCTTGCTGTGCTGGCACTTGTGGATTTGGTTAGTTTTCACCCCCACACTGGGTTTTGTGAGATATCATTTTGAAGACAGCATCAAGGTCTCCAAACAGTTAACTTGCAGTTAATCATTGGAGAGTTTCTCCAGGGTGGTCCTTGCCTACTCAGGTAAACCCTTTTAAAAAGAGCATCCAGAACTTCCCTGGAAGAAGAGATGGAAAGCTGGAGACACTTTCAGCTGACTGAAGGTACAAACAGCCATGTGTAGAGGGACACATGGCGGGGATATACAGGCAGCCTCTAAGAGGTGATAACCTTTGTCCCCAAACCTCAAGGAAAGGCATTCAGCCAACAGTCACATGAGCTTGGAAGAGGACCTTAAACCTTGAATGCAATCCCAGTCACCTGATGCCCTGTTTACAACCCAGTGAGACGCTGAGAAAAGGACCCAGCTGAGCCACACCTGTGCTCCTCACCGCGGAAACGGAGATATACGCGTGCTGTTCAAGCCACTCAGTTTGTTACTGTCAGAATCAAAATGGAGTGATTTGTGTCAAGCCCTAAGGAGAAAATACATCAGTCTGGGAGGTTGTAAAGGAAGGAATCTCAAGCACAGATAGCTGTTAAGGAACTAGCCACAGAATACACAAGAACACAGCCCCTCACTGACAGTACTTCTGCAAGGGCCCAGTCACTGTCCATCTAACCTTGGGCTGCTACTACCTAGCCCTTAGCCCAGGGTAGTTGATTAAGACCACTTACGAAATCTTCAAAGATTCCCTTTGCCTTATACTTTGCATATACTCATAGTCTCCTGTGTCATTTGGATTCCCATCACAATGCCGCTACACTTGAAGAAACCTAATCTTTGGCAAGACTCCATCATTATTTTGACTGAGAGTAGCAATGCAAAACAAATATAATATCTATTATATGTCTGCCACAAGAGATGCAGAAATGAAAATAATGCCATTTTTATTCCAAAGATAAAGTATGTTGAGGAGACAGAATGCCAAGAAGACACATAGTGAAAAGACTTATATGGAGAGATGGATCAGGACCCAGTCCACTTACTGTGCCAGATTTGACACCTGCTGCCCTGCCTAAGGCCAGTCAGAGGACCACAGGCAGCAGTGAACTGAGAGCTCAGCCCTGTCTTCCGGGCCTCCTGGCTGCATGCTGCAAAGTGAGTGTTTTCTGTAGCTGTGACTTTCTCTTCCACCAGCCACACAGAGGAAGCTATTGGCACAGGAGAAATGAGCTTGAGGATCTGAGACACCAGAGCAGAGTAAAGATACATAATCCCGGAGAAATTCAGTGCCCTGACTCCTCTGAACCTATTCCTGGGTCTTGATCCATCCTGCCCAGTTAAAAAGCCAATAAACTTAGGGATAAAACTTGGATTCTGTGCAAGCCTAGTGTTCTGACTAATTAATATAGACACAGCTCAGTAAATAGTAAAAGGAGCTCTTATTGATTCATTACTCTTCTCATTACTCTAGTTTTCATTACTCACATTAAGTGTTGTGAAACCCTTAGGGGTAGCCACCTCATTTCCGGTGCTTATTAGGGAGTCCTTGTATGTGGAAGGACAGCCTCATAAAACAGCATGCTCATACTGTTTTAGAAAAGAGCAGATCTGGACTTCCACAGCGGGATGAGCTGTCTGGCTTATATAATTGCAAGCAAAGGACTGAAGTTATCTTGAAATGCTGAGCTGATGTGTGCTGGCCCTAAGAGGCACTCAGAAATGACACTTGTGCATGTTTGTTGTAACATCAGTTTGAGATTCAGGGTCTTGGCCAGCAATCTACAGGTGTGACTGAATGCACCACGTAATCTCTGATGTCCAGTGGCACACTCCTGTCTCCAGAAAGGCTGAGAAGTGGTGTGCGGCCGGGTGCTTCGAAGTGCCCTGACCTCTATGCATGGGTCATGGGAGGAAGCCTAGACTTTGGAACAGACCAGGTCATCCAGATCAGTGGGCAGTGCCCGCCGAGACTTGGCCTTCTTCCGGCCAGCTTGTCCCATGGCCCTCGGGAGCCTGTCCTGGCTGCGGGTGACTTGCAGGTACTGGTCAGTGCTGCTGTTTTGCTGGTCACTGCTGGACAACACCGACATGGAGTCAGAATCTGTGAAGGACGGCTCGAACTTGGGCCAGGCCCGGGGCTGCAGAGGATGCTGTGGGTACTGCAGGTGCCCGGAGCATGGCCTCCTGGGCACAGACATGGGCCTGTTGGCTTGACCCTCAAAACCGTCACCCCCAGACTTACAGCGCCTCCTTCCCCGGAGCTCAGGATCTCGGGTCCTGATTCTGGACCTCTCACCAATGTAAAAATGAGGGGGTTGATGGAGGTCCACCTGGGAGCGAGGGGCGAATGGCCGTTGGCCTACACCTCTCCTCGGCGTCTCCTCTTCTTCTTCACTCAGCTGTGGAGAGCCAGGCTTCAGGGGCACCCAAGACATGTGCTGTCGCATGTTCCTGGGGTACACCTCCACCATGTCACCAGAAGCGTCCATCTTGAAATGTCTTTCTGGCCAGAAAGTCAGATGGGGCTTTTGGTGGGAGTCACGCTCATGCATGAGATAGTTCCTGGGGGTTTGAGGCCTATGACCACGCGCTACGAAAGCCGAGACCTTGGGGCTCCGGAGAGGAAGATAGACTGGCCGGAAGTCTCTTCGGAAAAGAGGTTCTGATCGTACATCCTCGATATGCTGTGGCAGTGTCACAGGTGTGAAGGCCCTGTTCTGGTGAAGGTCCCCTGTGCTGGCCCATGGCCCCTGTCCATACCTGTAAGGCAAAGGGGTTAAGTAGCCTGGCCTCACTGGTCTCAGAGCACCTCCAGGGCTTTATCAATTCCAAAGTGTCACGGTATCCTGTGGCTGGACACATTGGGGAGAAGGGCCGAAGAGGCCTCTCATCATGGAAGCCTCAGGACCGGAAGTGATGTGTATGGCATGAGTGGGGCATGGCTCATTTTGCTGACACTGTAGGTCTTATCACGGGGCCGGACCAGTGTTTGTGGAGCACCTATTAGGGAGACTGGCCCCCTGTGTCTGCTAACTGGCTATTCCTCTCCCCAGGAACTTCCCCACGTTCCCACTGGGGGGCGTCATGCCTGTTAGAAAGCTCATTCCCTGAGATGCCACTCTGTCTGGCAGTGCTGGTTTGACCCGCATGGTCTCCCCAGGAGTATTTGATTCCCTCTTCCTTGTTACAACCCTGTGCCTCATATAGCAAGATTTCAAGTTCTTCATTAATTTAGTCATTGTCTTTAAAAGTGCTTCCATGGTGCTACATTAAGATCAAATTCAATTCTGGATATGCATTCGGGTCAGCACCCTTCTGACACCCCACTTCCATTAAAGGAAGTGGGTCCACTGCTTTCTACTAGGAAAGACAGAACCAAATGACCCATATAGTGCACAGATGATTTGACTAAAGCTTAGTTGACCTGAAGCTGAAATATAGAAAGTCTTGCCAATAATAGGGCCAATTCAGAACTGGAAAATGGAAGATAAACAAAAAGGCATTTTCTTTTCTTTTTTGGTACTGGGGATCGAACATGGGACCTTGTGCTTTCAAGGCAGGCAGCGGAGCCACTGAGCTAAATCCCGGGCCCAATTTTCTTTTCTCAGGCTATGGAAATGTGTATGCTGGACGAGCAGGTTCGAATGTAGGTTATATGGTAGATGGTATAGGAAAAAGAATTTGTTCTTTTTAACAAACTTTGATTCCCTTTCCCCACTCTCTCCATTTTTTTGTGACAGTCTCTTGACCTTACGGCCAGCCTTCTGGCAGAATTGGGATTTAATGTCCCTGGCCTCCTGAAACTGTTGAGGACCTCCAACTCCAGGGGCACACCTATTCTGTGCACACCTCTGTGGGCCTTGGGCCATGGCTGGTGTCACATTTGAGGAAGCCAAGTTTCCTTCTGGTCTGTGACTAAGCCTCACCTGTCAGCATCATGCTCTGGCCTTGGTTTGTGGACACCAGGAAGAGGTGAGCAGGGACCCCTGTGGCCCAGCCCCGGGCTCTGGGGCACAGGATGACTGATGGCCTCTATCCTGCTGCTCCCGGTGCTCAGGGAGTCTAAGCTGACCACAGTGCCATTGTTGAGGGGTGTCACCACGTGTGCGAGGTCACTGTCCTTTGGAAGCCTCTTGGAGCTTTCCTCCTGGGTCTGGATTCGAGCTGCAGGGAGAGGAGGGGCTTATGAGAAGATGACATCTAACGGGTGACACATTCACGCTTGCTGCGGTTTGGATCTTGGGTGTCCCCCAAAGGCTTATTAGTTAAAATCTTGGTCCCCAGCAGGTCACCATTGGGAGGTGGTGGCACCTTCGGGAGATCTTGAGGTCATGGAGGACGTGCCCTTGAAGAGGAGTGTGGAAACTATGCTCGTTCTCTCTTTTGCTTTCTGGTCATGACCTGAGCAGTTGGACTCTGCCACGTACTCCTACCAGGTGCTGACTCACTCCGAGTAATGGGCCAAGTGATCATGAACTGTAACTGGAAGCTCTGAAATCATGAGCCAAAATAAGCTTTATCTCTTTTAAGTGGACCATATCTAGTATCTGTTACAGTAACAGAAGGGTGACAGACACCAGGCTGGTTTAGTTGCAAGAATTTCATGACTGTCAGCAGCAGCAGAGTCTACAAACAACCAGGTGCCCTTGCAAACACAACCCATGGGCCACTGACATTCAGCAGCCAAGTCATTTTATTGCAGAAGGTTAGAGCAGGAGTGTAGGAGGAATCAGACCTGAGATAACAGCGTAGCCTTGGATACCTCCATGAAGCTCATTATCTATACAATGGATATAAGAAAGCTTATGGGACAATTAGGTTTCATTTGGAAAAGTCCAGATAGGACTCTGAGCAAAAAGATGGTCTTGACCTAGAAAGTGAGCGCTAGATAATGCTATTGTTACCTTGAAAAAGTCTGGGTAGATGCAGTGCTACCTGAAATAAAACTAAATTTTTAGAAACTACCTAAACTATCCTTGACAATTGCAGTGGGCTTTTACAGTGTGACCTATAGTCACCTTCCATAGTTAATTTCATTTAGTGGTTTCTGTCTGCAAAGATGGATGGAACAAGAATAACTCCAAGAGAACAGATCTCTTCCAGTGAGCTCAGCATCGAATCGGCACAATATTGATGCATGGAACTTTTTGAGTCCCTTCTCAGTCTTCTGAGGGAGAATGTGGGCTGTGCCAGTCAGTGGCACCAGCATGCCCTGGCTGTGGTCCCAAGAGGCTGGCCCACTTGTTTTGTGATACTGAGTATTGAACTCAGCTTCTTCACACTGAGCTACATCTCCAGCCTATTTTTAATTTTTTATTTTGAGACAGGGTCTCATCAAGCCACTCAGTCGCCAAGATCAGCTTAAACTTGTGATTTTATCACCTCAGAGTGTTGGGATGACAGGTGTGTGCCACCACACCCAGGTATAAGTCACTTGTTTTTGAGCTGCACCTGCCTGCAAGCCTCCCTCTGGGCCACACTAGCATCTGTTTCCCTGCTTCCATCACTTTTGAGGTGCAGCTCTTTCTCTTTCCCCACCATGAGCCTAGATGGGAACCAATTTGGAGGACCTGGGAGAGAAGGTATCCCCTTACAGAGTCCTTGGGTTCGGATCCCTACTCAGAATCCATTTTGCAGCCTGGGCCTGCCAAGATGCCAACATTCAACAGGGCCAGGACAGGGAAGACAGAGGCCAGGGGGCTGGGAGTGGGTCCTGCAGACAGAGCTGGGCCTCATCAGGAACAGGAACAAGATGGACGGTCTCAGAGCTTCTCCAGATCGCTGTGCTGCTTTCTCCACTACTTCAAACCTTCCTTCTGACTGGATTTTTGGAGGTTGTGTACAGGCCTGCCATGTTGTCAGAATTAAAGACATCGACTGGTATTTGCAGCCTGCATTTTACTTTACTGTACCTAGTTAATCGTGAGATAGCAGCGCTGGCTGTGAAGACTTGTTATGGGTATAGCATACCTTAGGCCACCTTCTTGCTTATCCATTGAGACATCAGACCTTTGTGCTTTAAAAGTATACTTACCTTCTACCATCTGGGCGGCCTTCTTCTTATCTTCGGATCTTGCCTAAAATGTAAATGATAATCTTGTTGGGTTGAGATTCAGCAGAAAGCAGTAACAAGTTTCTGTTCTTGGGCAGGAAAAGACTTGTGTGTTGTTCTTCATATCGTGGGCGTGAATGAACTCCCCCCGCCCCAGGCACCAGTGGCGGCTCTGCCTATTAATGAGTGAATGAATGGAGACACATAAGCACCAAAGTTTGGTGCCTAAATGGTTTCACTTAGGGACAGCCAATTCACTGGCATGTTTACATTCCGCCAATACAGTTGAGTGTCCCTTATCTGGAATGGTTGGGACCAGCAGCATTGTGGATTTTTCCAATATGTGGCATATGTACAAATATATAATGAGGTGTTTTGGGGATGAGACACATGTCTACACTTGAAATCGTTTATGTTTCATATGCACCTTATCTACATGGTATGAAGGATTTTATACAACATTTTCAATAATTTGGGGCATGAAACAAAGTTTCATGGTGTGGAATTTTCCAATTGGGTCATCATTTTGACACAGATGTCACATTTTTAGATTAGGGATGCTGGGATAGTCTGCCTGTGTCCCAGAGGAGACCATGCAGATCAACAGCAGTGAAGATACATATTGGCAAAATCCCCTTTGCAATGAATTTCTATGGGAAATTTTTACTTCGATACTTATGGGAATCTATACTTATGGGAATTTTTTTTTTTTTAACTGAAAAGGGAGGAAAACATTTTTGCATGGGGATTGGGAGGGATGAAGGTCAAGCTATAGAGGAATCCAGGCTGCCAAGTTTAAGGATTCCCTCACTCTGAGGGCTTGGAGAAGGCAGTTTTGCTGGACCTGGAGAGAACCTCCTTAAACCTGGTGTCCTGGGTACCGCCCTAGCCCTGGCCTCACTGCATACCCCAGAGAGCCTGGGACTTGCAGAGAAGAAAAAATCCTTTAGGTTTGGGGAGTGTTTGTCTCCTCCTGCCTGCTTGGAAAGCATCTGAGCCCCAGGTGGGAGAGAATCTCATGGCAGCCAGAACCTAAAGGTGAGTCTGGACTTGGTGTGGCCACCGAGGAGTGCAGAGGTGCTGAAGGCCTCAGCAAAGGCATTGCAGAGGAGGAAAAATACCAGCACAGTGACTTGTCTCCAGAGTGTTTGCCCCCACTTCATATTCTTAGGGATGTCTAAAGGATACCTGGGGGGTGGGGAGCTTGTGCCATAAATGTCACAAGTGCCGTGGCTACAACACTCTTGTTCGGAGAATGCTCACCACGTGGGTGACAGCCACTTGGGGGTGACAGCAGGATACTGGGGATACTTGCATTTTGGATCTGCACTCTGAGCTGCTGGTTGCTGAGCTTCAGTGAGCGTGCAATGCTCTGCAGGTAATAGATGAGCATGCTAGGACAGAAGGACACAGCAGTGAGGGCCTGACTGCCAGGCCACACCCCTACTCAGCTGCTGGGCAGAACAAGCAACCCCAGGTCAGATGGGGGCTTCACATTGACCCCTCTATGGAGAGCACAGGGAAGGATTGCTTTTCTCCTCCGCTTTCTGCAGCAACCCCACCAGCCCAGAATTCTGCTCTGGACAACAGCAGGGAGGGCATTCGGCATTAAGCCAGGAGTACTCACTTTCCTCACTTTAACTTTTCCTTCTAAGCCCAAACAAGCCAACACTACTTGGCTGCACTGGGAAATTCCTTTTCAAGATCCTTTAAATTCTGCAGAATATGATACCGATACTTTTGATGTTCAGCCCCACAACAGTAGCCACGGTCATTGCCCAAATGCTGCTGATGGATCAATAGCCACCCTGATGGCAGTGGGGTGTCCCTCTCTCCCGCTGAAACCCCACAGCTGTCTCCCTGCAGCGCGGTGGATCAAGTGACTCTGGGGTGTGACTCAGAGTCCCAGCTTAGATCATCAAGTTCTATAAGCGATTTCGGAATAAACTAATTAGTTTCACATAATTATTGGAAAGCAGTCGGCTGGCGAGGCACGAGGCAGTCCCTGGAGGCTGGCGGTGTCACACTCACAACAGCAGCAGCACAGCGGGCAGGATGACCACAGGGCTGCTGAGGTGCCCGACCACGGAACTGACCCACCCAGGGAAGTCGTTCTCAATCGTTTCCGACACAATGTCGTAGATTTTCTCTTGTCCACTGTGAGAAAGAAACACATAGCTCCAGACTTCATTGCTTTTGGCAAAAGGATGCTACATGACATACAAAAATGTCTGGATGCTCAGCTACGAAGCTAGAGATAAATGTCCCAAATAAAAGATACATACCCTTCCCACGATGATTATACATGAAGTAGCCATCTAATGAATACACAAGCTTGAAGATAGGGTCAGGAATCACATGGCATGTCTTTTAAGCATGCACACCAAGATAAACGTATGTATGTGTTGTATCAAAGCTGGTTAAATGTTAGATGGAGGTGACCATGGGTTTCAGGTAGATCATGTAGGAAAAAAGTGATGAGGGCTATCTTTTAATAAAGCCTTCTGGGTTTTGGCCAGGTAGAATTTCTCTCTAGCCTGGGAGCAGGGCTACTTCCTTCTTTATTTTGAAGGAGTTGTACCTTTTTAACATGAGCTCAGAGATGGCTGTGCCTAAGGGCAGCCTGCTAGCAAGGAAAGAGTCCTGGTCTTGGGTTTGAAAGATGCAAGTTTAAGCTACTTTTATGCTGTTTTCCAGTCCTGTGAGCTAGGGGGAGAATGCAATTCAATGTGACTCAATTTCCCCATGGATCTCAGCTAAAAGAGCTTACCTGAAGGGCCCGCAGTTTAGGGACGGCTTGTACCGCACGATAGCGAAGACGGTGGGCAGCATGCACAGGAACAACATGAACAGGAGCATGGCTAGGTAGAAGTTGTTGGACCTGCAAAGACATAGAACATCAGCTGCTGTGCCCATTCCAGATCAGGCACAGATGTTCCAAGACCGACACAGAAGCTGCTCCTGACTCTGCACACAGGAAGATCCTTTTCTCAGAGCTGCTAAGGAATGGGTGTGCTGTAGGATCCCATGAATAAAGTACTGAAACCTGGAAATCGGTGCTCAGAGGAACATCATGGACCCTGCAGCCCAATCTGCTCCTCCAACAATCACTGGAAGAGCATTCACGCAGCACAAGACAGAAGAGCCAGGGGCCTACCTCCATACCATGGCTCCTACCCAACAAGAGCAGTGTGGGGGAAAAGAGCTTAGACTTTGCTCACCTACCTGGGCCCTGACCTAAGGCTTCTCTCTCCTGCTCCCAGCCGTGAACTTGTCTTGTTTATGTCTCAAGGGTGTTTGGCTCTTTCTGTTAGAATTCTTGACTTTATCTTTCTTGGATGAGATTTGTACTCAATCTCCTAACCTCTAGGCTCCTGGATGCTCAGAATAATGTTCTTCCCTATCACACTGTGGTTCCTGGTCCCTTGGGTGATGTCAGTGAGCTTTGCTGCCCCAGCCCCTCTGAGGGTGGTTCAGACCCACCTGGATTGTAGGATCCTGTGCATGGTTCTGCAGGAAGCATGCACGGTCGGGTCGCTTCACCTAGTGATGGCCAGCAGCATGCTCGCTATTGGCCACTCTTATCTCTATCTCTCTCTCTGTCTCTCAATACACTTGACTAGTAGTCTTGGTGAGAATGTATTAAGTAGGTGCTACAGTGTGAGTGTCCTCTCCAAACTCATATTAACACTTGGCTGCCCTGTGGGGTTTTGGGAAGTAAGACCTTTGGGCAATGACTTAAGCTCTGAGGTCTCTACTCTCATGGGTGGTATTGACATGGACATTAAAAAGCAAGTCTGGCCCCTTCACCTCTGTGCTTCTCTGACACCTGAGGGACAGTGCTCTTCCCGCAGTAGATGAAGTGGTTAAGGAAACTTCTTGGAACAGACACTGGGGTCTCACCAATCACCAAACCTGCCTGGTTTCCCAGCTCTGGAACTGTGAGCCTATACATTTCTTTTTTTTTTTCTTTTAGTACCAGGGATCGAACTTGGGTCCTTCCACTTGCGAGGAAGGTGGTGGAACCACTGAGCTAAATCTCTGGCCCCGAGCCTATACATTTCTGTTCATTATAAATAATTTAGCCCCAGATATTATGTAGTAATAGCACAAAATGAACTAAGACAGAAGGTGAGGGTTAATTTATGAAAATATTCTTTCCCCCCTCTTTCTCTGCATGTGCACACACACAATAAAATACACATGTATAAAACAAATGTATAAAACATAAATACCCGAATGTAAGCATGTATGTGTATTGCTTACCTTACCAGGTAAAATGTAAATACACTGTCATGCAGGTCACAGTTACAAAGCTTGGAAACCACTAATACTGACAGACACACAAAAATAAAGTGGCATTGTAAACCTCACTGTATTCAGAATGTGTTATGGATTCACCAAAATGGCTGAAATGAAGGTCTTGGAGAAGAACCAGTGTTATTAAGCCTGTGGGGCCATGGGAATTCTAGTGAAACCGTCAACAGATGGGACCACTTTGGAAAGGTTTTTGGATCTATCTGTCCAGTAGTGGTAAACATACTTGTGTTCTGATGCCCAGCAATGGCTCTGCTGCATGTGCTCCTGATATTAGACACTTACAGGAGTACCAAAGGCAACACATCCATGACAGTTCCCAGCTGGAAGCAGCTCACATGTCCCTGAGCAGCAGCACCAAGGGGGAAGTGGGACACATCTCCCTGAGGCAACTTCCACAAGTGGCTCACTGAGTGTTGGAAAGAGGACTCTGGGGCATTTCCACAAAGTGAGAACTGGGCAGAGCCCACCATACTGTGGGGAATCATGGTGATGGAAAGGGAGGAAAGTAGAGGTCCTGGGTCATTTGTGTTCTGTTTTTTTATCTAGGTGCTGGTTGTGTTCAGTTTGGGACAGTTCATCAAGCTTAATATTTATGATTTGTGGATTCTTTTCTAAATGATTATCAAACTTTAGTAAGAAGTTTAAAAAATGTGTTATATGCCTGAGAGGAGTCATAACTAATTCCAGAAGGGCAGCCTGGGAAATGGGGGCACCTGGAGAAAAGATAGAAGGTGGCAGGACTTTGACAAGCAGAGAGTGGGGGGGATGCCTTTCGGAGGTAGGGCGCGAATGGCTCTCATGAGGTCTCTGCTGAGGCCAGGCCTACCCTCTCCCACTGACCTGGATGCACGGAACACCTGTTGGTGGGGTGCGTTGCAGGTGAGCACTGCCCAGCTCCTCAGGTACATGAGTCCGATGAGTTTGAGGACGTTGACTGCAGGCAGGCAGGGGGAGAAGAAGGCACCCATCCTGCAACCACAAGGGAAACAGTTGGCATGTGTTCTCTCCCAGTGTGTCTTGCAGGCTGTGCCCAGGAGCCCATGAGGAACATGGCTCTGAGGCTTTGGGGTTTATGCCCCATGTTTAAAGCATTGGAAAAAGCCTGGAAGTCTGAAACCTTAACTCTCCACATCCTGGAGGTAAAACCAGACTCTGCACATAGGTGGCATTCTTGTTTTTAATTGTCCCTTTTGCAGAGCTACTTATTATTTGTTATTCTCTCCACACTTAAGCAAAGGAAAGGTCCTCCTCCTGGGAGCTACACTTTGGATCAGGCTCCACATTTTTCCTAGGTAGGGTGAACACTGTGCTAATAGATACTGACTTTTAGGTTTAATTAACATATATTGAGCACCAACTTTTGCTGAACATTATGAAAAGCATCCTCATATAGTTTAGCTCATTTAATGTTCTGCAATTATGAAAAGAAGGGTAAATATCAAAAATTAATAGATAAGGAAGGCAAGTTGAGCAAACAAAGCAATTTTCTCAAAGACCTTTTGCTAACATAGGGGAGACCCTCCATCATTGTCATGGTTTTGAGGATAAAAGAGGTGAGGCAATGGAAAAAAATTCAACCTTCCCAGGGAAGCTGGCACACAAAGTCACCTGGCAAATAAATGTCAAATGTGGAACAGAACCTGGGACACCTGACTCTTAAGTCCATTTATACTGGATATGCAATTGAACTAACACTTGAGGAATTTGATAATAGATAAAAAGCTATGTCTAATAAATAAAAGTCTTCCCAAAAAATCAATACATGGTTTGTTGTGGCAGGTAGAAATGGCACTGTCCATGTGATGTTAGGCAAGACACTCGGCTTCTCTAGGCCTCAGTCTCTACATCTTTAAAACGCAGAAAACATCAGCAGTTACCTCATAGCTTCACCACAACAAATTAAATCAGTTACTGATAAAAATGCGCGGTATCTAGCACATATTTAAAAAGTGTTACATATTTTTAATACTCTCTGTGAAGATGTTTTGCAAAATATAGTGGACTATAAGAACATAGAATTTGATTGGAGGAATATTACTTTATACCTCTTAATTATCCTCCTATTTTAGGGAGAAGCAGTCCCTCTTTCCACCCTTCCCTTGTATTGATTCCTATGTCGGCCTTTTGGCTGTGAGCAATAGTGGTTTAAAAATGGACTATTTCCTTCATCATTTCTTACCCACAAAGTCCTTAGAAAACCATTAATAAAATTGCTATGCATGTGAACTATTTCCCTTGCAAACATCCTTTCTTAATGCTTATTACTGTGTGGATTTTGGTTTTGTCCCATCCAGACTCATCAAAATCTTAGCCCAGATGAGATGTAGCAAAGACAAGGGAAGCTGTGATACCTACCAAATCATTCCTTGGTTGTAGACTAAGTGTAGCACATTCTCAGCTATTTTGAATTCCCCATATTCAGGCTGTAAGAATAAAAGAATTTCTGCATTAAACACAAAAGTCTCAGTCACACACCTGAAATGCTTTGCTTTTATAGACTTCAGAGATCACTGCCTGTGTGACCACCAGCAAAAGGTGAAGGTTGGGTGGAGGAGGTGGAACTCAGCCTTGTGCCCCCTTCCCTCTTCCCTTGGGCATTTTCTCTACCATACCTGGCTGTTTCCCAGCTTAGGTGTCAGGAAAGGGTGGATCTAGCCTCAGGAACTTCCCCAAGGACCCAGCATTTCACTTACAAATTTGCTTTCCAAGTCCCAGCACCAGTAGTCACTTAAGTAGCGAACGAAAAGTCCTCGAAAGAAGTCTATCAGCAGGATGCTGGCCACAGTGAACAGCATGTCTATGATGGACAGCTTTAGCATCTCCTGCAACACAGGAGGTCATGGCTGCCACCCCAGCCTGCCCCACTCCACCTCTTCCTTCACATCCCTGGTCCTCCTCCTCTCTGCTCTCCCCAGGGTCCAGTCAGGTAGAGTGGGCACAGGGAGGGGCTGTTGCCTCACATAGGTGCTCAGGGAACACTGGGGTTGAATTTGTATTTTGATAGGCACTGCCAGCATTATCCCAAACAGGAAATAATCTGAAGTGTGAGGTTCCAAACCACAGGAGACTCATTTCTATGGCATAAGACTGTCCAGTTGAGTCTCTGTCTAAGATTAAGCAGCAAAGGGTAAGAGCAGAATAGCTAAGGCACAGATCTTGAGTTTGAGTATTCTGCTCATTACCATCTGTGTCTTTAGGCAGTTCTCTTAACCACCCTTGCCTCAGTTTCCTCATTGTGCCTATGGTGATGATAACGAAAGTCTTACGAGGACACTGCTTAGCACATAGTTACTACCGCACAGGCTGCCTTCACACTGACTGTTACTAACTTTGAGACCCAGAAAAGCATAAACCCCATTGAATTTTACTTTTCCTAGAAAATAGGGACAATGATGCTTCAAAGAGTTGTAAGGAATGGGCCAGGAAATGGGTGTGGACGAGTTTCATAAAGTGTATTGGGAACCACCTGGCCCACGTATGTTTCCCAGCACTGGCCTTGTAGACTCTGGTTGTGGAGTGTGGTCTTGTTGACCTTGTTGAGTGGCACTGTGTATGTTGGGACCCTCATCTCCTCTAAGACCCATGTGCCATTTCCCCTGATCCCTGTTCCAGACCCAGGTGTGGGCCATTTCCCTTCTTCAGGGGCTGCCGTGGTGGCAAAGAAGGTGGTAGAATCCATCCAAGCACTTGTGTTATATTTTGAGGCTACTTCCTGTGGAGAGAGGGAAGAAGGGAAGGACAGGTTGTCCACATGTTTATAAATACATACAATCAGGGAGACCACACAAAGGAAAACAGTGCATTGGTTGGGAATAATCTCTTCTCCCTCCCTCTCCCTCTCTGTCATGGGACACAGAGATGTAATGGATATGTAGTGTCAGAAATTTCAAGGTAACACATATGGTCTTGCCTCATCCTCATGGGATTATCAGGCAGGGATGATTACCCCACGTCCACAAGGAGACTGAAGCTTAGTAAGTGGGAGATGGATGCTCAAGGCCATGTAGGTAAGTGGCAAGCAGAGACGCAGGCCTGCATAACCTCAAAGCCTGATGCAACAAAGGGCCTCTTTCATCTATAAGCCTTCAGATCTGGTGCTAGGATGGTTTGTCTTGGGCAAACCACCCTCAGAAATCTCCTCCCTGCCTCTCCCCCCACCCCACCACTTGGGGCATCCTCTAAAGCACAGCAGGATGGGGATGGACACCAAGTTCCCCTGGGCTGAGCATGGAGATGCTAGCTGAGTTGGGACAGTGTGTGATCTGTTTGCCATGAGATGAATATTCTCTCCTGATTTCTGAGTGAGTTTCATGGCCTGCTGCTCTTCCTGGGGTTATTGCAAGAGCTGCTGAGAGCTCTTCCTGATGGAACTCAAGGAAATAGTGTAGTACATACCAAGAGAGTGGATTCAAGAGCCCCAGGTTCTCATCCCAGCACGGCCACTTACTGGCCATGGATCCTGGCCTCAGCTTCCCTATCCGGGCACTAGGCTAATTTTTCTGTCCTTACCTTGAGTTTAGGACATGAGGTATGGAGCTGTGATGCTGACAGTGACAGTGACCCTGGCTTGGGGGGCAGGTGGCAGAGGTAGACACTCACCTGAGTGCTCATGCTGTTCACTTTGTCCAGGAGAGCAATGATCAGGCTGTAGAGATTCCCCAAATATAGCACGAGGACCCTGAAAGCCACAAGCCCACCTGAGAACCAGACCCCCACATCCAAGTCCATGGACGAGGTTCTAGAGCAGCGGTGGTGAAACTATATAGCATGTGTGCCACAGCGGGGATGCAGAGCCCTCTCTGTTGGCGAGTGAGCCAAGTGGCCATAGCAGCTGAGCATTAGATAAAAGTTGTTTTTTAAAAAACTAACACCTCAGTATTCAAGTTTAATTGCAGTGTTGGCACTTTGCTATAAATAAGGGGCTTTGGGTTGCAGTTTAGGGCCTGGGACTTTAACAGGTTTATCATCACTGTTCTAGACTATCATGGAGAAATTGAAAGTGGCTGCTGCACCACACCTGGCATTCTTTAAATCGCCTTGGATGCACTGAAGTGTGGAATTCCAGAATCCACTCTGTTTTAGGAGGTCTGGGTGGGGTTTACATTCTTCCACTAGAGCCCTTCCTTGGATCAGAGTTTTAGAACCCTCAGGTAGCAGAAAGAGTGTGAGTTTAGGAAGGGGTCCTGGCAGGGCCATGAAGCTCACACATCCTTATTCCTACTTAGAGGACAAGGAAACAGAAACACAGACAGAGCTGTCTGTCACTGATCAGTTCACAAGATCACAGGGAGTCACGACTGAACTTGGGATTCCACTTGGGATCCTTGTGTCTGTGGTTCAGGCCTGACCCTGTGGGAACACAGAGGGCCTTCGGGTGTAGCTACAGCACGAAGGCCACTGTGTGTGACCTCAGTCTGCCAGAGGTCCCCATCAGCCAGTGATAAAGCCTGATGTCAGCTTTCCTGAGTTGGGAGTTTTGGAAATCCTCGTACAGTAGCCCAGGGGGCTGGCTGTGGTCCTGTGGGAAACCGTGGTGACCTGAGGCTGCGAAGGAATAGGCAGGGCTCCCCATGCGTGACTGGGACAGCAGTGAGCATGGTGAGAATCATGGGTCCAATGCCTGTTGGTGGGAAGGAAGCTTTATGTGGAGAAAAAACTCCAAGTGAAAGCAGGAGTCTGCTGTGGCCAGAGCCCTCCTTCCTCTCCCCGGGGCAGGACCCCAGTTGTGCACAGGCCAAGGGCATCTCCCAGGCAGACTGGGACTTTCGATCTCTACCAGCCCTAAGAGCTGCCCAGTGGATGCTGGCTGAGGGAAGGGTGGAGTGGATGCCACCTCAGTCTTGACCCTGCTTTGCTATTTTCACTGTGCTTTGGATGAAAGGCTGGTGAGTTAATGCAACTAAAATAACTTGCCTGCTGCTGTTACCAGAATCAGCTCTAATTTTGCCTGGGCTAAGTCTTTCCATGCCTTTGTTTCTCCAGTTTTGCGTATGAGTAATGAGGCCAATCTGTGTAATAGGATTGCTGTTAGACCAAATGCAATAATAGAATTGATTCCACCCCATGCCCGCCAGGGAGGCAGGAGTGGAGGGAGGCACTTGCTCCCCTGGGTGAAAGAGATGCGAAGCAGAGAAGAAAGAACCAGTTAGAAGCTGTGTGTGTGTGTGTGTGTGTGTGTGTGTGTGTGTGTGTGTGTGGTGGCTCCAGACGTTCCTGGGCCAGCCCCTCACTCTTTCTGGTCTTGTCTTTCTATCTTTGAAATGACAGTTGGGTTTCAAGGGTTGGAGGATTTCGGCCTTCCAGTCAGCCTTACCCACATCTATTTTCGTAAATAAAGTTGTGTTGGAACCTAGCCCCAGCCTTCTATTTTTGTATTCTATGTGGTTACAACCTTAAAGCTTAGAGTTGTGACAGATGTATATGTAGGAGCCATAAAATCTAAACTAGTTTCAGGTCTTTTGCAGAAATCTCTGTGGATTCCTGGATGGGAGAGAGTCTTCCCAAAGTGCTTGGTGACCAGTGGCCCTGGAGGATGTTATTAGGCCTCTCAGGAAAAAACATGGTGAATTGGCACAGGCCACCTCCTGCTGCCACTGTTAGCTACAGAGGCGTTGATACCCTGCTGGCTTTGTTAGGGAGTGAACCTCACTGTAGGGGGAGAAGCAGTTCTTTCAGGATGAAGCCCTTGCTAGAAAAGATAGCGCTGTTCTGACTCCCAAGGGAGTGACTGGGATGTTGCCGCACACACAGGATACAGTTACCATCCATCTTCTTCAACACTGAGGGTCTCTACAACCTCAGAAGCCCCCAGCCCTTTCCAGAAGGGTCTCTTTCTGGGAAAGGTCTCTGCTCTGGGGAATTATTAGCAATGCATACACGACTCCTCATGGGTCTGGAAAAACAATGTGGGTCTCTTCACATTCAGTCAAAGTACGGGTGGAATTCAGCAATGAAGAGAACCAGACACACATCACACCGTCTTCCTGTGCCTCCTCCCCTTCCTGCCCTGTTCCTCCTCCTCCTCCTCCTCCTCCTCCTCTTTTCCATTGCCTTATGAATCTGGTTCTTCTGTCCTTTGCATTCTGTCCCCCTTCCCTGCCTCTTTTCCTTTCTCTCTTGGGGTACCTCACTTTTCTTGAGTTACACCACAGGTGAAGTACTAGGTAAGTGTTGGGGACAGAAGAAAGCCAGGATTGCTAGGGTCACCAGGTCTGGGTGGCAGACGCTGAGCCACATGGGGTCCCTCCTGGCACAGTGCCTACCTTGCCAGTTGGAAGCGCAGCGTGGTCCGGGGGTGGTACATCTCCAAGGCAGCGATGAGGTCAAAGGCAGACGGTGCCAACATGGTGACGAGGGACACCACCACGCTCACCTGCAGGACAGCACTGCCAGGCTTTGTGCCCCCTGGCCACTCCAGCCTCACGCTCCTACTCTGGGTCACCGAATCTAGGGTCTGGGCAGCAGGTACCCTCAGGGCCTGCAGTTTCCTCCTGAAAACCTTCCCAGGCTCTGCTGACTCTCCTTTCCTGAAGGCCAGCATCTGCTTGTCCCGGGTATTTCTCTTAAGAATTTCAGCAATCTGAGGACACTCAGATGCCAGCAGGAATTTGCCAGCATCTCTGCATCATTTATCAATGACCACTTCATCTCATTTACACTTCCCCACCCTGGGGTGGAAGAGGGAAATAACTGCAATTATTACAAATAGAAAAGGGAAGGCAGAGGGAAAATTTAATATTCTTTCTGTATACAGAGGATTAATTACCTAAAGGATTATGCCTGGCTTTTGTTTCTTTGTACTCATGGCAAAAGAAAGAGAAGCTTTAGCTGGTACACAAATCCTTTGTCTAAAATAATAAGTAATTTCTAAATATATATTTAACACAACCCACTTAATTGACATTAATTAGAAAGAGGTATGGGAAAAGATTATCTAGTACAGTGTTAGATTTTTCTCGGTATCTGGGATCAAACTCAGGACCTTGTGCTAGGCCCTAAACTACATCCCCAGCCCTACAGTGTTAGATTTTGATAAATTATTGTACATTGATAAATATATATCAGATAAACTGATGATCATCTTACTGCTTACATTCCTTGCTTTTTAAATCCTAAAGGATAATTATTTTCATACAAGTGACTTGAGAGGTGATTTTGTGCTATGTATGCCTTTCAAAGCTTTACAGGTAAATCGGGCCAACCCTTCAAAACAGCAGTCTCGTAATGAGTATTACGAATTCCAAAACTGTCCACACCCTTCCACTTAGTAATTTTCAGTGGGGCGGGGAGATCATATAACAAATGAGCCCTATTTATGAAGCTGGGAGCGTTGTTATTTAGAAATATGGGAACTGCCACATGTCTGACATTGGGCACTGGTGCCCTGTGGTGCCCACACTGTTCTTAACATACATCTGCAGGAGTCAGGTTGCAAGCAGGATGGGAGGAAGACACAGAGATAAGAGAGGCCCAGACAGCAAAGCCCAAAGGCAGAGCTGGTGTGAATGCTTGTGAATGTCAGTGAATCAGAGTCTTCCCCTGCCCAGAGCCCTGAGGCACTTCTCAAGCCCTAGCACTGCCACCTGAAGCCCTGTGGTTCATGCCCTCAACTAGGGGACTGACCTGTTTTCCCAGGGATGGTTCTGCGTAAACCACTAAAGACACAGAGGCCCAGCCGCATCTCTTGGAGGGGCGTGCAGGTAATTGATGGCCGTGGTTACCTCATTCTTTTCCCAGAGCGTCAACTCCTTCTTTGACTGCTCCAACTTCTGAGACCGGTCCACCACGAAGTAGATGAGATAGATGCTCCCGGCCAGTGAGAGCAGTACCAGGATGTTGGCAATGATCCTCAGGCAGATGGTCACGACCCTGGAGGTGGGGGGACCGGCACAAGGTGCTCAGAGCACCTCGAGGCACAGCAAAGGGGCACAGGAACAGAGACGCTTCTGGTGCTGAGGTGACCCTGAAGAGCCACCCCCCCACTCCTCACTTTCTATGGGGTTAACAATGAATTATATATTCCACAGGCAGCGCCTTGGTGCTTAGACAAACACTGGCTATTGAGTGCTGTCGTATCCACATTTACCTTTAGGGAGGGAGGGAAGGGCGAAAGAGAGAAGGGTTCTGCCCATCACTCCACACAGTGGCTGACACTGGACCAGATGTTTTCTTGGTGGTTTATTAGCTGTCTTTTCCCTCCAGAAGTAAGCTCTGGCTCATTTTTTTCAGTCCTGTACCCTCGGCTCTTAGACTAGGCCAAGGGACATTTGGGGACTTTGTATTTGCTGGATGAACAAGCAAATAGAACAGCAGCTCAGCGACCATGAGATGGGACATGGGACTTATCCCTCTCCTCACATGGTCTCACTTCTCACAAGCCTGTCACAGTGTGGACAGATCTCAGAGTGAGCAATGTTCTAGAATCTGCACGTGACTGAAATACATCCACTTTTGCCAACATCAGGGGACAACCGACCAACCAACGCCAGCACCTGATGTTGAGACACCTTCTGTTGCCGTTGAGGCTGTCTGAGCCTGGTGCCCCTACCGGGAGAGCCCTGGGCATAGGCCTGTTTGTAGGCTGTGGACTTGAAAAGTGAGCCCAGAAGGCAGGGAGCTGAGCTGTCAGCACAGGATGTAGCAGACAGAGGTGGCTGCCGCTAGATGTGACTGCAGGCCCTGGTGGCATGAAAGAGAGGGACATTTGTCCCCTTCCCTGTGGTCCAGGGTGACTCCCTGAACTCTCACCCTGCCAGTTGACCACAGGTGTATGAGGGTTACTTAGATCTGTGGGTCTGGCTCAGAGTGGCCAGGGCAGCCAGCCCGAAGTCCAGGAGAGGAGCCTGCTCCCGACAGAGGCTGCCTGGCCTTGCCTGGTGGGCAAGAGGGGAGGCCAAGCATGTCCTATCCCCTCCATGAAGTCCTACCCCTGTGGACCTTGTGCTGGTCACCACACCTCCCTTCATGTGTGTCTTAGCTCTTCATTTGGACAGTAAAGGAGCACATTCCAAGTAACGTGGTAAAGCCATGGTAGTAGATTACATGCTATAGTTACAGTTACACAAATCACCGAGCCCTGGAGATAGAAAATGCTGAGAATGCAGGTCCCTGAGTGCCAGGTGTTCTCCACCCACTCGCTCTGGTCTCCAGACCATTGTGCCCTGGCTTCTTTCTGGGTCCCAGTTGGGAGGAATGTGGCCCAGGGAATGAGTCCTGCAGTTCATGGTTCCTTTGTTTTCCTCCTGGTGGGCCCTCTGGTGGCTACACCAGAAAAGGCATGTTGGGCCAATGTGATGTCACCAGCCAAATGCTCACTGTCCTCTTCCCCTGCCCCCTTCTTCTGGGTCCTGTTACCATGTGCAGCACTTCCAGAATGTTTACTGCACATTTGCTTCCTTTGGAGAAGACAAAGGAGTATGTATATTTGGGGACTGCAGGTGATTCCAAGGTGGGGGATGACCCACCCTCTGGGACACACTGGCCTGAAGTCTCACCTTTTCATTCCACAAGAGATGAGGTGCAGGTCCAGAGAGGTCAAGGAAGTGCCCTGTGTCATGGGACTCAATGACAAAGGAGGGCTGGAATCCCTGCTTTCTGATTTCTTGTCCCTGGGGCTGAAGTATTTCCTCAATTGTCCTGTTTGTTTCAACAGTCCTCTGCATGCTCTTTCTGGACTACAGATACTGACTATGCATGGGAAGACCCTGGAAAGATCTGAGAGGAGCAGACATGTTCTCCCAACGAGGACAGGACCATCACCCCTTCCTGGGATGCCCACTGTCCATCTGTCCTCTGGTGAAAGGGCCTGACCCTCTCAGGCCAGCTCTCTAGTCTCCTGAAGGACCTCACACCCAGGAAAGCCACCTGGAAGGCTGTGAGCATGAACTGGAAACTATTTGTGTCTTATAACTTCAGAGATTTGTTTCTAAATAAAATTAGTCCAGCAGCATTCATATGTCTGCTTCGTTTAGCAAATAGAAGATGGCACTAAGAATACCTGTTTTATTATCCAAGTAAATGAACAGGAAATGGTAAACTTCAGACTTCTGAACCTTGCTGCAGAACCCATGGAGGGAGGAAGGGCTCCTAACTGCCAATATGGAAAAGGGACTGCTTTCCACAAATTGCACTAGCAGAGGGATGGAGATTAGAAAGAAAGAGGAGCTGCTCAACAATTACGAAAATATGACAAATATGCTTGGTTAATGTCTGTATCAAATTAAAACTTATCCATGAATCCAGCACATGGAAAAAAAAATACTCACAGGTTTTTGCTTTTCTTCTTTTCCTGTTCTTCCAGGATAGCCTCCTTTAAGAAAAAACACAGGCTGCACTCGAAGCTCAGCATCGTCATTAACTGTAAATCATTAGAGACAACCTATCCGGTTCTTGAACACCTCTTTCCAATGTCCACGAATTTCTCCAGTAAACTTCCTTTGATATAAGTGACTTCAATACCAGTGATCTCATAATCATTTGAGAAAAGAAGACTAGAGATTGGGAAAAAAGAGTGGAAGATGGGAAAAGTGTGGTATCTTGAAATACTGATTTTTTTTTTTTAACTAGAGCTCCAAGTGATTTGTCGGGTTCAGGGTGGCCCATAGCTCTGACTGCTTTTCATCACATTGACTTCTAAATTAAAAATAAAAACCTGTATCCCTACCTTACAGGTAATTATTTGTTTGCAGGTTAATTACATGCACCATGATGATAATCCGTTATGTAAGTTGTCAAACATGCAAACTGAAATTCTAAAGGGCTGAAATAAAAATGGGAAAGAGAAGCTGCGGTGCTTTCTCCCTGCACCCAGCCCTCTGTACCCTGATGCTGTTGACCACGGCAGCCGTCTTGCTCTCCGCAGCCTCTGGGTTTCCGATGAGGTAGTCCCAGGCACAGAACACCCGCCAGCAGAAGGTGTAGTTTTCATTGGAAGCACTGGCCAGGCTTGTGCGGGAGTTCTTCGCCATCCTGCAAGAGAGGACCGAAGGGGTGATGGTTGAGTCCTGGGGCCAGGGACAGGGGAGTCTACTCCAGGATGCCACCCTGACACGGCCCCAGGGGGGGGCAGCGCAGTGCCCAGGGTTGGGGAGGACAGCACGGAGGCTGTGTGGCTAGCGGTCCCACAGGTGTGTGCCTGGACATCACAGTCCCCATCTGTGACTGGAGAACAGAGGCCACCCCTTTGCACTGAGGTGTCGCCTGGACCACTGCCCATGATAACTACCCCTAGAGGCTGCACCCAGCAGTCTGTCCCTCTTGCACTCTACAGCCCTTTAGATACTGTATTTGAAAGCAGGAGTCCTGACTGCTCCTCAGGCAAAGCTGTGCCGGTGCCTTATACCATTTACCCTGAAGTACAGTACCTTTTAGCTCCATGTCTTCCTCCCAAGTTTGCTCTGATTTGTTCATAAACTGTAATATGTAGTAAAGCATTTAAGCCTTACAAATGGGGGCTCTCAGGCCTTGAGGAGCTGGTTGATCTGGTTATTATATGTATTTTTATTCCAAGCACCTCTACCTGCACTTTGCTAACATGCCAGGTGATGGGGAGGGGTCCAGGTGGTGGGGCCCACATCTCCCCCAGGCTGGAGGCCCCTGTCACCTGCATTGCTTATGCTCTTTACAGAGAAGCACAGGAAGCCAGCTGGGAAGGGGCCACACCAGCCAACCTGCCTCTTACAGACAAGGCCTTGAGAGGGACCGTGGGTGGCTGCAGGACTCACAGTGCTATCGTGTATGTTGTGCCACCTCTTGGGGACAAACTAGGGGTGCCAGCTGCAAGACAGTGCACACAGCCAGGGTCCTGCACGATCTGGAGCCTGGCCACAGGCAGACACACAGACAGACACACAGCTTTGCTTTCTGCAAGCTCTGGTATCCTAGATCACATTGTTCATCTCTATTAGTGTGGTACTGCATAATTTTAAAGTTATGTAAACTGGCAACTGTGTGACACTCTGTCTCTTCAGAGCCAACCCAGGACCTGGCCCTTGGCAGTGAGCATAGGGATGTGCTTCGTAAATGCACAGGTGGCCCCTGTCCTGTAAAATGGGTGCAGTTACACCCTTAACTTAGAGGGTCAGTGACAAGATTGCATCAAATCACACAGCACAATTGCTAGCACAGATCTTGAGAAACTGAGCAGTCATACTTTTTTAAAAGAATGACAAAGCTGTAAGCGAACACGGCCATCCCCACCAGGAAGTACGCCAGGGGCAGACGGTAGCCAGCTCTCCCGATCCTCCTTTCCCTGCCGTAGTAGCCGTAGAAGAGGACGGAGTACTGAAGGTAGCCCTGCGGGGAGATCGCGCTAGGTCACTTCTGAGCGCCGTGCCCTGCTCCCCGCAGGTGCCACACCAGCCTCACCCCGAGGGACCAGACGGTGTTCAGGTCCTGGGCGGATGCAGCCTGCTCCGGGGGGATGGTCTTCCTGGCGGTGCTTCCGAAGGGCTGGCCAGCGATCAGCTGGTAAGAAAGGAGGTGTCAGTGGTCCCCTGGACAAGGGACCGAGTAACTCCGGGTGTCTGCTTGGTTCTACTGAGAAGAGCTCAGCCCAGGGCTCAGATTTCTCTGAATCAGATGTGGCTTCTGCGGGAGATCTCTGGGGTCCTTGGGTTTCCGTCATGGCCCAGGAAATGATAGCCCTGCTGTCTTTGTGAGGATGGGGTTTAGCTGAATAGGGGATTTTATTTTAACCTGTGGTTGGCCAACTGGCACAGAGGCCAAATCCTGAGATTCATATGGCCTGAGAGTAAAGAAAAGCTTTTGTTTTTTTAAATGGCTGGGAGCAGGGGGGACAAAAACAGTGTTTTGGGACAAATTAAACATTTTATAAAATATATAATATACAATATATACAATACAAAATATATACAATATAAATATACAATATATACAATATAAAATGGGTATTTCACTTTCCATAAGGAAAATTTTGTAGGAATGTAGTCAGTGTTCTTTGGTTTGGGTATGGTCTATGGCTGCCTTCACAGGGTACTGCAGATTGGAGCAGGTGACAGAGACTGACCAGCTCACAGACCCATAATACTGTCCAGCCCTGCAGAGAAAAGATTCCTCACACATGCATCATCCTTCCCACAAGGATAACAAGAGCGGGAGATTTGTGCTACTCTAACATCTCTTCTGGGCAAGCAGTACTTTTCTCTGTCTTGAAATAGTTCTTACCTCTGGAATGACAATGAAAGCACTTGTCATAATTGTGAGCATAATGTTAATTCCAAATAACCATCTCAGGAATATGAAATACGAGGCCACACCTGATCCAAAATGACCTGCAGAAAGATGTGATGGTGAGAACACTCGACATTCAGTTCTCATAGTGCAAGAAATCGCCATAAAGCAACACTGTTGTTGCTCCTATATCAGCAAGGCCTAAGGAAGCATGCAGTTACTGATGAGTGTTACCCCCCAAATGGTAATTTAGATGGACCAAGATGCCCATGAATAGTTACTGCTTCTGTATGTAGAAAAATTCCTCCTTTACCAAAAATACTATTTGATAGTTCCTTAATGACATTTTATCTAAAATGCTCTGTCATATATTTCATATTTTTTATTCATATTTCATATTTTCATATATTTCATATATTTCATGAATGTTAAGAAATGTTAGCTTTTTTGAGAACCTGATATATTTCTTTTTCATTAGATGTCATTTTAAGAATGCTAATAATTTTTTGAGGGTCTTTTGTCTTAATTTCAAGATACAACCAGTTTGTTAGACATCAGCAAACTGGGTGAAGGGCACAAGGGGACTCTGCTCATTTTCTGTATACCTATGCTTATTCTAAATTTAAGAAACTGCTTAATTTCATTTAAATATTTAAATATTTTTCCTAGTTGGTTGTATAACTTTCAGATTTATCTTTTTGTAGATATAATTTCTTATCTATGTACTTTAACAGTTTAGTACTTTCCTAAATAATTTCTTACTTCATTTTTATAATTAGACTGGTTCTCTTTTGAGATTCAATCACTGATATTTTCTTTAATTCTTTCATGGTTTCCACTTGTATATTTAAATATTTTATGACATTTTAATATGAAAGAATTAAATCTACTCTTTGAAACAGTTGCTTCAATTGTTCCAGCAACATTTATGGAGTAATTTAGCCAGATTGTGATAATAGTCATATTGTAAAAGTCTGTGAATATTGCTACCTGTACCTGAAGTTTTTGCTTATTCCTTTGATTTCCAATTATTGAATTATGCTATGCTGTTTTGATTACTTAGCTTTTACAATGTGTTTTTAACATCTTGGTTATACAACTTCATTCGCATTTTTCCTTAAGTTTTACAAAATTATTCTTCTGGCTGTTTTCTTTCACCTGAATTTCATGATCATTTTGTCAACTACTCAAAACAATGCATGGAGACTTTTATTAGAATTGCATTAAACTTGAAAATGGATTTTGAGAAGTCAGCATTTTCAAAATCTCACATCTCTTTAGAAGACTTTTATATTCTGTGGTCCAATTTTATAGTTTCCTTTTTTTCAGAATTTCTGTTAAGTTTATTCCTGGTATTGTACATGTGTGTGTGTGTGTGTGTGTGTGTGTGTGTGTGTCTGCATTTGTGTGAGTGTAGATGTGATTTGTTTATTTTTTTACATTATCTAAATGCTTACAACATTTCTCTGAAAGTACAGATTTTCATACTTGTATTTTACAATTGCCATCTTATTTATTGTCACAGTTTTTTACTTCCTCTTCTGAGATTTGTGTGTCTGACTGAATGAACAAGATGGGAGAGGTCACTGCTACCTAGGAATGTAGAAAGGCAGGTGGGGACAGGCTGGGGTCTCCCATCTCTGGATCCCATGTGAGCCTGGGCCACGCAGGGCTGTGCAGTGTGAGGGCAGGGACACCCCCGACTGAGCTCAGACTGTGAACTGGCCAGTAGTCCCGCTTTCTCCACCTGAAAGTACTTACTCTCGATTTTCTTTATCCTCATTTCCCAGGGGATGAAGATGACCACAAAATTACAGGCCAGACGAGCAAACTTCCGCCATAGCTAGGAAGAAAGGGCCAGTTAGGGACTGTCACATGAGGGGATGGAATGGCTGGTCGCGGGAGGCTTTCAGATATACTCTGGCTACCTCTGCCTGTGGCATCCTCTGCTGTCATTGGTTCTAGGACCCAAGTGGCCCCTGGATTCTCCATGCTTTTCTTCAGGTGACTATGTACCTGCAGGATCTGGGTGAGGTGCACATTGTTTGGGGTCACAGCTGACCTTCCCCCTACTATCCCAAAGCAGGGGCTAAGACAGTGGAAAACACTGAAGGAATGGTGTCTAAAGGCACACCCTTGACCCTGCCATAAACCTGAGGTCGCTGGGGGAATGGGGCCCAGGTGGTGACACCTACATCCCTGCCTAAGGACCAAGGGTCCAGCGGCTACCTTGAGGACCTGCCCCACCTGTGTGTGTCTGGTGCCCTGCAGCACAGCGAGCTTCCCAGCCTCTCTTCTGCTGAAGCTTCTAGGGATAAAGCTGGAAATTTGTCTTGTGGGCTTAAGATGCAATGAAGAGTTCACTTTTTTTTTTTTTCAGAGTAAAGCAAAATGTGCCCTGACACTGGCTCTGCTGTCCAACAGAGTTGGCAGGTTGTGCGTTTTAACACACAAACAATCTGTGTTTGTGTTGGAAGCAAATGATATCATTCCACAAGGGGCTACAAATGTGATAACCATACTCTGAGCTATAAAACAGCCCATGGCCCCGGTTCAGACCCATACGATAATATCATTGTGGATGTGTCTGCTTAGGGCAGACAGCTGCTTGCAAATAAAAGTCTGAATTTTATCAGAAGTTGGTGTGATTTATTTTCTACTTAGGATTTGAGAGTCAACTTAAATATAGCCACTCTCATGAAACCATTGCAGATTCTCTGTGACCGGAAGGAAGTTGTTCTGTTTGTAAAGTCCTCTAGCAATAATCTCTGGTCTCTCTTACAATGTCGTCCTGTCCCACCTTGCACTGCCTTTATTTTGCACAGCTGGGTTTTCTCTAGAGTGCAGAGAACCACACTAAGACTTTTGATCCTGTCTCCCCAGCAGTGCCAAGAGGCAGGCATGCTCAAGTGTCCTTTGATGAGGCTTGGGTTGAGTCTCTGGCCTGTGTCAAGTCCTCAAATCTAAAAAACATGAGGGAAGAAGCCAGAATTCTAGCTCTAGCTCCTCATCTGTCTTGTGACATGCCCCTGGGGAAGTTATTTTCTTTGCTTGCAATGCTGTTTGTGCATCTATATAAGGAACAATAGAGTTCAGTTGGTGGCTTTCAGAGTGTTCTTGATGTTTAAAATTGTATGAGAATTTCAGAACATGAATCAGGCTAAAGCAGGCCACGTTCACAGGTGGTAACTGCCTGGTCTCCACTCTGGCCTCAGGTGCTGGAAAAGCTAGACCTCCAGGCTCAGTTTCCAGAGCACTGGATTGAAGGATCCCCAAGGCTTACTGTGGCCATGAGTCCACACTGGCTTTGCCTAAACGAGTTTCTTATAGCAAATAGAAAAATGTGATTTTTTTTTTTTTTACTTTCTTTTTTTTTGATACCAGGGATCGAACTCTGGTCCTTCCGCTTGTGAGGCAGGCGGTGAAACCACTGAGCTAAATCCCCAGCCCCCAAAAAGGTGATTTTTTGATGACTATGATTCAGTAAGGTGCAGGGAAAAATATCATGATTTGCACCAAATCTCCATAGCAAAACTCTTCGAACTTTATGGAATAATTCAGAATTTTAAGAGCAAAGCAAAAACAAAACAAAGTAAACAAAACAAAACAAAAACCTTGCAAGGAACAGGTCCTGACTGTGGGTTTGGGTTACTGAGTTTGGGTAACTCAATTTTGTTGTTATTTTTGTACTAAGTATTCAGTTTTGGTAATCTTGGTGAGTTATTTTGGTAAGAAACTTACTGCATTTTGGTAACATCATTCTTTCATCCTTGGAAAGAGTTGTATGCTTCCCTGGAGTGTGTTCTTACAACATGTGTAATGGCTCTAAAAAGCACCTGCTTGAGTGGGACCCCAAGTTGCACCTCTTGTAAGTGCAGACAGTGGGCAAGACCTGTGGTGTGGGGGCCAGGGCAGAGCTTGCCTTCAGTAGAGGGAAGGCAGCTGGGGACAAGTCCGTGCCACCGTGGGACAGTCCTCTGGCTGGGGAGAAGGCTCTTACACATGAAGTCAGGGAAGCTCTAGCTGGGCAGGCCATACTTGCACCGAGACTTGAATGCAAAGGAATCAACACTTTAAGAACAATAAATGGGAGGAGGAGCTGTGTGGGCAGGGAGGCCAGCTGGTGTAGGTCTGCGCATCAGCAGGAGCTGGGGACTGCCTAGTGGAGCAAGGAGAGAGGTGTGAGAAGAAACCCAGCAGTGGTGGTGGCCCGATTAGCTACACATGGGAAGGAGTGTAGCATAAATTCTAAGGGTCATTAAAGCTACTTTTGGTTATCATTAGAACATTAGCAAGAGGTGGGATGAGCAGTTTCCTGCTTCCAATGCTGCCCTGGCTCCAGGGTGTAAGCAAATGGTTTTCAGACGTCCCATTAGAAGGCCAGCAGTGTAGAGAGCATCGTGGGCAGCCATCTGTAGTCCTACATGGAAGAAGGATTCCTGCCAAATTGTGCCATGGGGCTCTGGGGAAGGGGGACTTCCCTTTTTGCTGTCACGTGAGAAATGAAAGATGTAGACTGTTAAAACTCAAAGGATTCTTTCAAAGCCATTTACCCAGAGCAGGGAAACAATGGCAGAAAGGCCTGGGTGTCCCCATCTGCAGTTCCAGGCACCCAGGGCAGCTCTTGCGCCTCTGTGACCCGAGGTCTTGCATTACCAGACCTTGGTCTCTTACAGAACACAGAAATGTGCTAATGCCAAAGTAAGACTATCTACAGCAAGGGGTTATTGCGCAGGAATCAAGGGAAACTTCACATGAACAGAAACTTCAGATGGAGAACAACGGGGGGCCTGCAGAAGGCGCTTCGAGTCTGGAGTGGATCCCAGGAGAAGGAAGAATAGCCATGCAGGAGGTGGTGTACCAAGATCTCATGGGTGGAAGTCATGAGAGAATGGAGGAATATTCTATGAAGTTTACTATTTGGAAAACAGTGGTTTTTTTTTAGTAAAACAAATGAAAGACTATAAATAGAGATAAGACTCACTGAGCTGTAAGCAATATGCAGATTGGCTAAAGCGGTGGTAGAGGGCTTTTCTTTAACATGGGGGCTCCACAGGCAGAAGGAGCAGTGTTTCAGCAGGTCTGCCCCTGTGTCCACCAGAAGACCTGGCACAGGGCTCCGTTGACCTGGATTGAGGTGCTTCCTGCTTGGCCACTGGGGCTGTGGGAAGGATGGGTTTCCCTGCCTGCCTGCATAGCATGGCTGAAAACTTTTGGGCCATCTCTAGATAAGGTGGAAGCTTGGAACACTTTCTCTGGAAATTCACATCTTGAAGTTGATCCTGAGTCCATGTTGGGTTTCCCGTTAACCTTTCTATTGCTGTATATGTTACAGATTGTTTGTAACCAAGTGAAGGGCCTAATATTATCAGACAAATGTCTTCCCATAGCATTTCAGACAGTTTACTTAGAGAAAAACAAGAGTGTTGGCAGCATGTGTGATTATAAATGATGATTTTGTTTTGTATTTGTAGTTCATAAACTCCCTCAGAATGGAACAGGCATAAGAGTCATGAGACAGTTTGATCGTAAATCAGGAAGATTCTGTGAAGAGTAAGAAGAAAGAATGCCAAGGCAGAACCTTGGAGATTTTTTTGATATAATTTTCAGACATGTAAAATTTGTGACATTTTAATTTTATTTCAGAGAAACTAATAAGAGTCTATCATTTTTCTGTTAAAATAAACTTGAAATATATAATATTCAGTGATTATGCAGATATTATGAGGCCAATAAATTATTTCATGGAGGATGATAGTATATCAAGGCTCTTGGAAAGTAATTTTTAAAATATTTATCAATAGCCTAAAAACAGATCATAGTCTTTTTCTGTAGTAATTACAGTTCTGACATTTGGCCTAGGAAAATAATTTAAAAAGATAGCAAGATCTTATTTGGCAAATTTTTTTTGCAGGATTATTAATAGTAATGGAAAGTTAGAAGCGATTTAAATATATAGAGCAGGCAAATGCCCCTTTAAATTAATGTATATTTATCAGATTAATATTAAGCAGTTATCGAAAATGGTGAATATTAAAAACTATATAGCAACATGGAAAAATCCCTGTGGTGTTAAGTGAAAAAAGAAGCAAGACAAAAATATTTGTATATGATATCACTACAAGGTGAAAATCACACGTTTATGCAGCAACTGTAACATGAGATTTTTAAAAAGATGACATTATGATAGCAAGGGGCCCAGAACAAATGATTTTCCCCTTCATTTTAAAAGACATAGGAAATATCTTCATAGATAATTTCAAGGTGTGCTAGAGTTTAGCTTTAAATGACTGGTTGGGAAAAATCACAATTGAAACCTCAGCACTGCACTATAGAACCAGAGCTGGAGTGTGCTGCAGCCTTCGCACAGTGAGGGACACATGAGGTGACACAGCAAGGGACACATGAGGTAACACAGCAAGGAACCGGCATCTGTGGGTGGGGCTAAGTCTGGACATCCCTCTCCTGAGGCACAAGGCTTAGTTAGCCAGGTCACATAACTGGTGAGCCATGGCAGCTGGGACTAAACTCCAAGTTTTGGAAAGGAGGCTTTCGAGTTCAGCCCCATGCTCTGAGCTGCTAACAAATGAGCTCACCACCCACGGACCAAGGCAAGTACAGCCCCACAAAGGGGCAGCATCTCGGTTGTTCTTTACCTCTGCGCCTGCTGCTTGGTAGCCTCGAGTCCTGGTCAGCCTCCCTTCAAACTTCAGCACAATCTCCTTCGCTCGTCTGAGAAAAGAAAACATAACTGTCAGCACAATTTTATCACACTTACAATTTTTGCAAAATATGTGGAAGTGCACGAGGAATAAGTCGCCAAACAAAGCAGGACGAGATGCTGTGGGAGGGAGAGGATTACTAGGTTTCATGTCCTGACTATTGATAGCTAGAAGACACCTTTAATTTTGTTTTCCTTTTTTTTTTCCCCCATTAAGTTTATTGGTACATTTTCGGTATAAAATACAGTTACATTCTTCATTGGGATCTTGTACCATTATATGAGTCTCTTGGTTCTTATTTTTTTCCCTTCCCTTGCCCTCCCTTCACCCCCCCCACCCTTCCCTGTTTGCAAAGACCTTGTTTCCATTTTTTTTCCTCTTTTCATATTTTTTCCTTTCCCTTTTTTCC